TTTTCAATAGTCTTCGAATAGAAACGCAAGTTTTCGGCATTTGCCCATCCAGTAGGTTTCACTATTTCCGCCAATGGCAGTCCAGATTTTTGAGCATGATATGTTGAAGCAGCACTGCAGCTATGGGGTCCAACTTTGTTTGTATCGATACCTGAATTTCTCAGAGTTTCCTTAATCCAACAAGCAAGTGTATCTTTTGTGAATGAGATATATGGGGATTGAATAATGATAAGTAATGTAGTGTGTTATTGCCTAAGCGGAGCTGTTCTAGTCTTATACTACTGAAATCGTTTTACAATACAAAGTTTTGGATCAGCACAGTAGGCTGCAATTTCAAGTGGAACTTGATGTTTGCCTGATTTGGTTTTTTTTAAAGATATGTGATGGTAATACGAAGTTTGTCTAATAGAACTTGAATATATCTTATATTTATCTTATGCACGATTTGCCAACGTTGGCTTGTAAGAAGAAAAAGAAGGATAGCGGTAGTATTTGAGAGATCCTTTAGGGTTATGTCTGTTAGCTTTGGGCATCTTTTTAGCCTTACATCCCATATGATACACCACAAAGTAGCCTAACATCCCATATATACGAATATTGTGACAAAGAAGGCTTTAAGTGGAGTACATTCTTCACAAGGCAAGAGTTAAGAGGGTGTTTGCGTTATCTACGGCTGAAATTACTGTGGAAAAAGCTGACCTGGCAGTATTTAAAGTGCTATAGCCCAGTCCCGTTTCATATAAACTTGTGAGGAGCTGTGTATCTTGCCTAATAGAAAGCCTTAAAGGCTCGATGCTTTTATTTGAGCAATACTTTTCCCAACGAGATAGATAGGGGTTGTATTATTTTAGAGTCCCCGGCCGCCAGGATGACAAGATCAGGTTTTGTGCTGTGAGTTTAATAATTGTCGAGTTTGGCTTTTTGTTGAGAAAAGATGCTAGCAATTATAGTTTCGAGTGAAGAAGGTGATGCATGCTGGGATTGTTCAGCAATTGAAGAAGATCCTTTTTGGGCTTGAGAATAACTTGTGCTGATTTCAGCATGGATTGGCAATTGGATTCCACTGTTAGATGGGCCAGTGTGGGAGCAAACACATTCCTTCGGCTCGATCTCGGTGTATTTTGTCTAACACTTTGGCAATTGGACTAAAGGGCGGAGATGTAAAAATCTAAAATGGCTTTGAAAAAAGCAAACATTTAATAACATATTGGCTAAAAGCTTTTTTTCGTCTGACACACCTCACGTCAGAATAAGGGTCCGAAGAACAACGATGAAAAATATATACCCAGTTGTGGATCGAAATAGGCCAATGAAATAGGCCAGTGAAATAGGCCGCTTTATGCATTTTCATTTCCTTAGAGGGTAACAATGCAGACATGGTAGGGTGAATAATAAAGCCAAGGTCTATGAACAATGCCAAATTATCAATTACAGCACGGGAGCATGTTTCTAGTGTCCAACTTGAATATGCCGTCTAAATACGCTGTAATAATGTGACGTTTTTTATGCAAGCTTATTAAAGATGGTTTAAGTAATTTTGTAAATAATCGCACGTTGCACACCTGAAGAGACCATTTGGAAGGGTTACCTTCAAAACAAGGAATCCGGGATCCGGGGAGGGAGCTTTTAAGACTTGCCAATGCCTCTTTGTTAACTTTGACCTGAAAAATTGCAGTGCAATTTGATGGACACAAATACTTTTTCAATGAGTGTATGCTTCTTCTGGGCTAGAAATTTTCCCCACCTGGAATCAACAATTTCTGCTAATTTTGTGTCAATGTCAACCGAAAGCTCCGCTGGAACTTTAAGTGCTAGTGCTAGCTTGTCTAAAAATGTTTGTGTTGTTAGAATCTCTAACAACCGATGTGCCACCTGTTTGTCAAGGGCTGGGATATCCTCTTCAGAGTCTGAATCATTTGCATGAATAGTTGGGTTATATGCTGACTGTTGGTCAGATGTTCAATGTGGCCGGTAGCCGTGTTATCACATTGTCCGGCTATCACATTGTCCGGTGGACACTTTGTCAGCTACTAAGTGCTGCAAAATTCAGGTCATTGAGATCACGTTTTTGTTTACATTTTCTAATGACTGTTGCAAATTGATTGGTGGATTATCTCTAGGTTCGGGCTGCATTTAATCACCTTAGAACTAGCATTTTCCTGATTTTGGTAGTCCATGGACTAAAACCCAACTATTGTCTAAAACACCATAGATAAAAATGTATGAGTTCTGGTGATATAAAAATAATATCAAACAGGCGTTAATTTGAAAGTCTATAAATAAATTTTTCGATAAAAGCGGTTTTTGTATGAAGGTTGCAAAGAAATGACATCGTTACACCTTGTCACCAGTGGTGACTGCACGAAGAAATTCGGAATAAACTTACAAAAAAAGTTTACTTACAAATCAGAGAGCCTTGAAAATACTTAAGCTTTGAAGCTTTTTCTCTTTAGCTTGAGATTTGAAGCCTCACAACCTTTGACGAAGTGCAACTTTCACTAAGATAAGTTCGGTAAGAAATCACATAAACAAACAGCAAAGCATACGACCGTTTGCCAGCACCGTCGATTCTCAATGGCCAGTAACACATGCGCTCGCTTCTCATGGGATTTGGTAGTGACGCGGCTGATCGTGGAAAAGAAACGGAATTTTTAAGACAAAATATTCTACTGGGGATGATCTTTTTTTTCAAAAAGCAAGACTATAGTCTCAGGGAAATGATCGACTTTATGAACTCAAAACGTTTTCTCAGCCAAAAGGGAGAGTCGAAGAAGAATGATCCAAAACTATTAAAAACATTTTAGTTGCAAGCTGAAGGTTGAATTCTGTAAAAAAAATATAATCTATTTTGAGTAATCTTTTTTTAACAAAAAAAACAAGACGTTAGTCTTGGAAAAATGGTCAAATTTCCAACTCAAAACGCTTTCATAACAATAGGGTAGAATTGATGTAAAAAGACCTAAATATCACAGAAAATTTCTAAGTCCAATGTTAAAAGCTAAAATTTCTAAAAAACTATGATCTATTTATTGGGGGTGATTTTCCTTTAAAAAAAGCAAGGCTATAGTCTTGGGGAAATGGGCGACCTTTGAATTCAAACCTTTTTCTCAGTCAAACGGTAGAATCGAAGAAGAACAATCCAAAACTACTAAAAAAATCTTATTTGGAGGCTGACAGCTGAATTTTCCAAGGAAATATGATATATTGATGGCTATCTGTCTTTTTGAAAAAGTGAGGCTATAGGCTTGGAAATATGGGCGATATAGGGTAGAATTTATATAGAATAAACTAAAAATAATAGAAATCATCTTAGTTGGAAGCTGAAAGCTGAATTTTTTGGCCAATCATCACCCTTCGATAGCGATGTTTTTTTGCCACAGAGCCAACCTATAGGCTTGGATTTGAAAGCAAAACTTTTTTCTACATATAATAGATTATATTTATTATGTATTATCAGAAACTACTAGATATCATTTTATTTTTTTAAAGAAATTTGCATTATAACTAATGTACAATAGTATTGGGAAGTGATGATTTCTTGCAAAAAACTTTCGGTTTGAAGAATGCAACAATTTTTAACGAGAAATTTTTGTTCGAAATAAATTGTAATAGTTCTGGCTTTATTTTGAATGAGAAAAACATCAATTTGATAATATAAAATGCTAGATTTTGTATAAAATTGCATGCTTTTAGAAGTGTTCTTTTTTTACAAAAAGCGAAATTGTTTTTTAAAAAAGGGAATGGGAATTAGAAGATTAATATTTTTATTAAAAAAGAAGCATAATTCAAGAATGATTCCTAACCACCAAAATCAAAATAAACTTTACGAAGAATGTCGATTTGTTTTACGATTTGTTAATGAATTTGCAACTTTTTTCAGTAGTGTGGATTTTAAAAAAAATCAATCCCATTTGTTCGGACTTTTTAAAATAAAATTTTCACAAATGCACCTATTTTCTTGGCCTTGAAAAAAGTCGATTTTTTAAGATCAAGTCTTTATTTAAAGGGTTGAGTGTTTTTTCAAAAAGCAAAGCAAAAGGGATAGGGCAATGGACGTTTTTAATATAATTTAGAAATGGCGCTGATGAAAACAAAGATGATGAAACCAAACATTGGTGAAAAATAAAATAAGTTGATGAAAAACGCTGCATTGCTGAGGTAATTTCCAAAAATTAAATTCTATATCATTGAAAATGGTTAGATTCTTACTGCAAAGTTTTTAAAAAGGGTAAAAAAGACTTTGTATGATACTACCAGAAGAAGCAAATGAAGCCAAAGTTTAAGAACAATTATCACTTTTTAAAGAATTCAAAATCGCAGCGAAACGGAAGGCTTGGAAATATTATCCGATGTTGTGGATTAGATTCTTTGACAGAATGAAGTAATTTTCCAGCAATATGATCTGAAGCTGATAGAAGGGAATTGAATTTGACGAAGAAAGCTGGTTTTGTTGGGGAAATTACAACCTGTCAAATGTTTTCATTTTTCACAAAATAAACAAGGCTTGGTAAATTTTATCGAGTTTTGAAGTTGAAAATGTTTTACAATTTGCCCTAAAGGTAGATTCGTTATGGTAAAGTCAGAAGCTATCAGAAAATAATTGAATTTTGTGAACAAATCAGGATTTTTAGAAAGTGACAACTTTTAAGACTTTCGGTTCGTAGCAAATATCCAAGGCTATAGGTTTAGAAATTTGAATAATTTTAATGGTTAATATTTTCCTCATCTCGGAGACAGCATTTCCCAATTTTTGGTGGACCCAGTGAATTTCATCCAGAAAACCAGAAAAGTTTACCAGAAAACCATCCTCAATGGGGTGGATTTTATAAAATCCTCTCAATTATTCGTTAGATTGGTTGCTAACAATGAGAAATAACAGAGGCATTTCGATTTCTCTATTCTACTTATGATGTCGAATAGTTTTCTATTTATTCTTATCACGACTTCGACTACCTACTATTTTTATTGGGCCACCATTATGGATTTTGGGTGTCGTTGTGCAGGCGCAAATGGACTTTCGGAATTCTGGATTTGCTTGCATGGCGGAAGGTAGTTGTTGCTAGCAGAATTTTGGCTTCGAGTTCAGTGAATCTTGAGAAGTTTTGAAAGGAAACAAACCGGCTTCAACATGAGGTATTCAAATTTTTATTTTGCATTTTTGAAGCATGCTTTAGTTCTTTTATATTTACAACGATTGACTATCGGGTCGTTGTTTTAACCCTTAGTTCAGTAGTTGCCTAACCTCATATTAGGCCCTTGTCCATTTGGGTGTCACTCGAAGTTATGAAACCCCTTTTAAAAATGACAGAGAATCTGTATTGATTAAGATTGCCTTAAATTTCCATTATCTTGCAGTAAATTCAACTCAAATAAGCAGACTGACTCGAAATATTTCACCACAACAAAGAAAGGTGGGTGTACTGATGAAGTAACATTCTTTTTTTAAAATATAGTATACTACTGTACGAGGTCTTTGTGTTTAGTTTATCATGTACAAAAATAATCCTGTCTAGCACAGTTTTCAGGTTAAGAAGCTCATGTAAACATTCTTTTTTTACTCATTATTAGACTGTGTATAGCTATAAGGTGTGACAAAACATTTAATTGTGTGCCTTTTGTCTAAATGTATTAAATTTGGTCAAAATTGTGTTTTGTAAAAGCTATTGATGCAATTTAAAAGTAAAAAAGTGCGGGTGAATTTACATTGTCCTCTGAAAAATTCTCTCAGTTGCTCCTTGGGCTTGGAAACTTGCAGTCGTTTTCAGTAACTGTAACTGTTACATCAAAGCTTGCAGCTTGTTCAATTCTTACTATCAGTCTATTTAGATCCCATTCTAATATTGTACCTCAGAGACTGCTCTCAGCCATATGAAACCAAAATTATACATGTTTTAAACATGGATGGTCATGGTTTATCCAACCTGAAGTTTGTGATGGACCTTAAGAAGAACCTGTACCTCTACAATCAATATAATCTAGAAAATTATTTCCTTTTTTTATTGCGCCTTAAATATGATATTGAACTCTTTTCTTTTTATAAAAACAATTTTCTAAAAACACGAGCCTCAAAAAAGTAATGAACAAACTGAGGCTAAGCTACTGTAAAATGCAATTTTGAACAATATTTTATCTAAAAAACGAGGATTTCTAGCCATATGCGGGTGCTCTTTCAGTGAATATTCAAACTTGTTGGCAAACGAAGGTTGTCACATTCGCTTTGTTGACAAATGAGGCCTGAATGCCTCCCTAGAGCAAAGAAGCTAGCAATTGTACTGCTTAAACCCTCTTAATTTGAGGACAATTTAAGAACAATCCAGCCTAAGATTTTCAAAAAAATGAAGACTAAAAAAAAATGTATACAATAATCCAAGTTAATTGTATTAGCAAAAATTCATGGTCATCTAGTCCTAACGATGAGTTACTCTACAATTAAACAAGAACAAATACACTAGGGTATCAAAAGTATTGCATCACTTTGCTCAAAATGGGGGCACTTTTCGTAAACTTTTTGGCAATACAAAACATTTGAATACAAGAAATTGGGAGAAATAGGAGTATTTTGTAGCAAATTTTGGCAGGAAAAAGTTGCAAATTTTGCTGATGCCATAGAAAACTTAGTTAGATATGTTTAAATCACGCAAAAACATTTTTGTTTGTAAAAATGTAAACCATAACTATGGAAGCAAAATTGTCAAATGAGTTTTCAAAAAAAATGTTGACCAAGATAGATGCAGCCACACAACAGCTGCAGGAAATTAAAATAAATATCTCGAGAGTGTTACAATAGTAAAGAAACCGAGAAGTGGGCGACCAAAAATATATTGATGTTAAAGAGGAACAAATTTTTTTGGTTTTATTTCACTGCCTTTACACCTAGGGGCAGTAAAAGAAATGAAACTTGACACTGGGCAAGGTTTTCCAGCTCAAAATCCGTCCAATGAAACTATAATGAGTGTTTTGAACAAATACAAAAGAAAAATTTACCTGAGTAAATGGAAAACATTTTTACAAAGAATTATTTCCAAACGAAAGAAATTAAAGCTTTGACATAGTCAGAATAAAGTCCAATTTTTAACATCACTTAAAAGTTTTACTTTAAATAAAAAAGGTTACAAACCGTGATCTAAATGATGGTCCAAAAACCAGAGAATTATTAATTGTAATAGATTTCAAGGCCTAATAGAAATTCCATAAGTATATGTTTCCCAAATATATGGGTCCATTTCAAGGAGACTTTTTGCAGTTTCAAAAGTTTATGGCTACCTGTCAAAATATTGAAATTTGAGACTGTTAAAAGATGTTTGCCACTGTTATCTTTTAAACAAATGCTCTAAATATATTGAAGTTTTGATTGGTGGTTGTTTTGCTCTCGACCAATTGCCATTCGCCACTTAAAAACAGAATTAATTTGCATAGCAATAGCTTTCAATCATTCTTGCGCCATTTCTCCTCCTTCAAGGTGGTGCAATACTTTTGATACCCTAGTGTATATATATATATAAATAGGCAAAACAATACAATATAACACTATGGAATTCCCACCATGTTGTTCAATTTACACCACTTCACACTACAACACTGTACAACAAGATCTTGCAAACTGTATGCAAAAAGTTGTTTGCTAATGTTGGTATCAAACCAACTACATTAACCTCTTAATAAATGACATGGTTACTTCCAGAATTATTCTGTTTTCCTTAATACTGATTGCAGGCATCAATACTTTGGATATTTTCCATAAATAAGAAACTTGCACAATGTGGCAGTTTACATTGCAATAACGAGTGACATTAGTAAAATGAGAAAGAATAACCAAATACAAGTGACTAAATATGAAAAAAGAAAACCTCGGGCAGATTCATTATATCATATCCTATTATTTTACTTGTTGAGATTTTTGTTTTGAAGAAGCCTGCAATTAAAAGCATTTTAGTTTTCATTTAGGCTTAAATTCACCTTCTGTTGAACTACACTGATGCATAAATCATCTTTTATAAATCTGCTCAATGAGAACTAAGATTAAACCTTTTATGTATCTAGGCAAGCAACCAGCAAAAGACGATTGCATAATTAAAGACAACTTTTCTCAAGCACTCATCTGTATATCAATATTTCTGTAACTGAGGTTTTTTTCTCTCATGAGGCCGTATCAATGGGTACAACTTGGTCTACTGTCGACTGCCAGTCAATGACACCCCCCCCCCCCCTTAAAAACCATAATTGGTCAGGACTGACTCTTGGAAAATCCTGGAAACCAGCGCTCACAGGATTTCTCTTACGTGACTGATGGCTCCAAGTAAATGTAACCAATGATTATAATTAAAATCAATAGATATAAGAAAGTCCATAATGTTTATAAAAACCATATATATTTAATCCTGTTTAATTTGTTATTGGTACATTACAGTTTATTTATGTATCCAATCAGCAATGTAAAGCTTATTCTCAATATTGACTCACTCATGAGTGCCCTGCTAAGCTTATTGTTAACACTTATTGGTTGACAGACAGGAAGTAGTACCTTTAAATTGAGTCACAAAAAATGACTTTCAGTGTTTATATTGATTAAACATTTATTCCTCACAATTTATCACTTAGTGCAATCGACCAAATGCTCACATGACTGGGTTTGCATGAGTGCTGTGGCAATGGCGAGTAATCACTTGCATCAAATGTAAAGACCAGCTTAACAAAGCTGGTCTTTGTGCTGCACCTCTTATCATCTTTCTTTATAAGATGTGATGTACAAAAATGGCACAAAGAGAAATTTAATGTTAAATGCATTAACAGATAAAAGAAGGCAGAAAATAACCCAGACATGAAAGCTATAAAAGATTTGTAATTTTGTTTATATTCCAGGTGAAATATATGAATTGAAAGGCGAGCTCAACAGTGATAAGAAGGAGAAGAAGAAAGAAGCTGTAAAAAAGGTGATAGCTAGTATGACTGTAGGAAAGGATGTCAGGTTAGTGTTGTCAAATTTGGTTTCTATGAGAGGTTTGTCAAGTAAAATAAATGTCTACAGATAAGGATTAAAAACCACTGCTCTAATGGTTATCGAAGATTATTTAATCACTTATAGCATTCTTCATCTATAAGCCACCCATGATTATTAGCCATAATAAAGGAAGCTCAAAGCCAAAATAATAAGTAAAATAGCTTTTTCTCTGTAAAAAATCTCATTTCCCTCACCTTGTAATCTTCTAACAGTCAAAAATGTAGATCAAAGTTTTGTATAGTGGCCAGAAGTCATCTCCCTTGACACTGGTCAAATAAAGTTGCTTTGTGTTTTTGAATTGTGTTCTTCCTGTATCAAAGCTCTATCCTGAAAATGACAAAGAATCTTTTGTTGGAAAATTGATGAGAAAATGTCACTCCATATGACGAGGAGACAAAATATTAGAAGGAAAACAGAAAAAGGGAATTGGTGGATTTATCCGGCATACTTTTTTATTTGATATATGTTAATCAGTTTACATATCCTGACAGTTAAATTGTTCTCTTTTTGCTTGTGATGTAAATAAAAGCTTTCCATGTAAGATAAATGTATTTTTTGTCTTTCTTTAGTGCTCTTTTTCCTGATGTTGTTAACTGCATGCAAACAGACAATCTGGAATTGAAGAAGCTTGTGTATTTGTATCTGATGAACTATGCAAAGTCTCAGCCAGACATGGCAATTATGGCTGTTAATACATTTGTCAAGGTAACCTAGCGAAATTCAGCTTAGATACTTTTTTATACAATATTTATGGAGTCTTGACATGGTTTGTCTCATGGTTTTTGTTTTTGATTAGATCTGCATAATATTTAAAATTTTTACGGAATATTTTTTGTCAGTGACATTTTAAAGAAAGTATCTGAAATGTGAATTTACTTTAATTCTTATATTTTTAAGAAAGGTATTTTTAAAAAGGAATGTTGATAAAGAGACTTTCTGATGATTTATCTGCAGGAAAATTCTAGAAAAACAAATGATTTTTTGTCTACACTGCTGTGCTCAATTAATTGTATATTTTTCAACATTTAAGATAGTTGACAACGAATGAGCAATGACTTTAGCTATAATGTGGATTCTAACTCTATTGTTCACAAACAATTTTCTGCTTTCCTTTGTTTTCTGTTTTCTTGGAATGGGTATTTTTAATTTTTTCTCAATTTCATCTCCTCCAATAACTCAATAAATAACTATTATGAAACAAAATTTTAACACATCAAGTATTCATATTCATTTTTTTACGTTCTACCATCCATAGAGTAGTGTAATATTGATTCAAGTATCACATTTAGTCAAATTTCGAATGGTATTCCTGCTTTATTTCTTGTTAAAAACAAAGAATTGTAAAGATATGATTTAGCAAACATTTAAGTCAAGTAGTCATATTCATAGTTCATTCACAAACCATTGCTTGAATCGTTTTTTAACTATATATTTTTTGAATTTTTATTCTAGGATTGCGAAGATTCAAACCCACTAATTAGGGCTCTTGCTGTGCGTACAATGGGTTGCATAAGAGTTGATAAGATCACAGAGTATTTGTGTGAACCTCTACGCAAGTGTCTGAAGGATGAGGACCCATACGTTAGAAAGACGGCAGCTGTTTGTGTGGCAAAGTTACATGATATCAATGCAACATTAGTGGAAGACCAAGGTTTTCTTGAAACTCTTAGGGACCTGCTTTCAGATTCAAATCCTATGGTATGATTCTCAAATTTAAATGCAAAATTTTATTGTCATCTAATAATTTCTTTATAAAGTCCCTGATCCATCTGTTCTATATTTGTTGCTCTGCAATTGCCTGCTACAAAGTCCTCAACCAAGTTCTGTGACAATGGTTTGGATCAAAGTAGTACATGCAATATAGTGCAAGAACCTACTCGCTTCTTTAAATCAGAATGATCAATATATAAAATATAAATATATTTAGATTAACTGAAACAAAATTAAGGAAAAAACCATATATACTCATATTTTTATTCACAAATCCATTATGAGTTCATGTTTTTGCAAATAAAACATTCATACTTTTATTTACTTTTATTTTATCATTTGTTTACATCTTTTCGTATGTTTGCATACTATTTATTTTACTTTTTCAACTTTCTTTTATTTTTGATAATAACATGAGCTTCTTTTGATAAATAGGGATTTGATTTCCTGCTTTTCCTTCACCATACCTTGCAATAATTTTTTGTTTGATGCAAATCATCAATTTTGTCCTTATCTATTAGTTATTTTGTATGGCTTGGAAAAAAGGAATGAGGTGAAGTGTTAATTTAGGGAAAGTATTATTTTCCACCATTAAGAAATTTCGCATTGGAAAGAATTGTTCATTTTCTTTGCCAAATGTCAACAAGGCTAATTTTTGATAGGCTATATTTTTGTACAAAGATTATAGAATGACTCTCCACGGCTAACAAAAAAGTTTTTTTCTAATTTTACCGTAATTTTCCACCCAAAAAGCCAATATTTTCATGACATTCGTTTTAAACTCTCATTTCTTGTTCCTGTATCTTGTTCCAGGTTGTTGCAAATGCGGTGGCTGCTTTAGCTGAGATTGCCGATTCATCCCCAAATGCCCATCAATATTTTGAAATTAACCCACAGACAATTAATAAACTTCTTGCCGCCCTCAACGAGTGCACAGAGTAGGTTTTTCTTCATTTTTATCAAATTAAAAATCAAATTGAAGCTCTGGATTCCTCTTTTCTTTAGGTATTCATCACATGCTCCATTGATTTTTCAAGTATATTTTCCAAGAATACATTCCCATAAGGTCTTATATTGTGTAATTTATCGAGAAAGCAAGGATTCTTTTCAAACAAGTAAAATTCTAATGGCCACTATTTGATTTTCATTTTTTATGATTATTCTAAATATTTCCTCAAAGAATTTAGATATGTCAAATAGTGTTGCTCGTTCCATGAAAGTTGATCTAAGATATAATTCCCCTTTTTCAGATGGGGACAGATCTTTATCCTCGACTCGCTTGCCACCTATGAGCCTAAAGATGAAAAAGAAGCACAAAGGTTTGTAGTAGTTCATATTTCAACATAGAAATACAGCAAATTTTGGAAACTAGCTATGATGTAGTATTAACCAACGGTGAAGCCTCCGGGAACTGACGCCTCCCACTAACAAATATCTCAAATAACAGACAACCGAAGGGTCCCACGCAAATAGAATATGATTCAGCTTTAGGTCAACACCGAGAATCCATCGTGCACCAAAGCATGAAATGGTGAAAAAAAAATTAAAACAGTAGCCAGGCAAGGTCTTGTTTTCATTTAGTCGCTTTGGAATTTGTCCATGTTGAAGCACAAGTCGTGATTGGCACAAAGAAGTTTTTATAGACCCTTCAGGTATTTGGGAAGTAAGATATCACTCAAAAACAAGGAACCTATCAAACCCACCGTTCTTCCTCCCACTTTTCTTCCGGGACGCACCTGGATGTAAATCTCTGCTTACATTTTGGTTATTTCGGCCTTTAAGACTCTGATGAGTACATAGTCCATGTACATAAACAATAAAAAATTTGTTATTGGGTAGACAAAAATAGTTCACTTGGACTTGATTGGATGTAATTTTGATAAGCAAGCGGCATTTATTGGATTAAGCCAGTACTGTGATGTTTTTTATTTGCTTACTTCAGTCCACAATTCGTAACATATATTTCCTTGCCTAGAAATTTTCTATCATTATTCTGAGGTTTTATACTTCGAAGAGTATCAGACAAAAAGCTTAAGTATGTTTTAATATGGTTGCTTTTTCAAAGCCATACACGGAGGAAGTCAGACAAAATGTTTCGTATAGATGTGAGAGTATTGGAACTTAGATATTGAATCACGTGTTAGTAGAGAATGGAAAGAAACAAGAAAGGAAATGACTGTAATGGAGATTAAGGAGAAAACTTTAGGAAGTAATTACTGATTAAAGATTCATAGGAGAAAATTAATAGTAGACGAGGATTGTCGAAAAATGCAAACTGTATATATTGTGTGTACATATCGCTCAAATTGCTCAATCTACTATATTATATTTTTCTTTACCATTTATTTCTTTTCATTTTTTATCATAATCTGTTTTCAGCATCTGTGAAAGAATCACTCCTCGCTTGTCTCATGCTAATGCTGCTGTTGTTCTGTCCGCAGTTAAGGTATTCATATTTAGGCCCTAAAGCATATTACCTTAACTAGCATGCTAAAGAGTCTCGATACTCTCAGTTTTGAGTTGCTATTAGCATAACCTGGCTCTATTAGCTTGAGGTGTAATTTTTTTGTAAAGTAGAGTATAAAAAGCTTTCTAATGTTACTCTTCAAGCAGGTCGGGAAGGACAGTTTCAACATTATGAATGATGAAACTAATCAAACTATATGAGCAATGCATTGGTGAATGTTTAATTGCTAAGCATGAAAATGTTCTAAAGACCTTAATAGATACTGAAAATCTTTATTCGCGATTTATTTTCGCGTTGCATTCCCATTTTATTCGCATTTTGTTCGCGTTTGACACATCATGAAAATTTGTTTCTGTAGATGTAAATTCACTATGTCCTGTATTTACTGTTTGCATTGATTTTTCAAGGTTTTGATGAAATTCATGGAAATGATATTGCAAAACTCGCCATACATGAACAGTCTTATCAAGAAGCTTTCACCTCCTCTGGGTATGTGTTTTAAGTCACACCAAGACACTTTTTCTAGTAGCTTCCAATTCTAAGAAACATATTTAGTAGCATGCTTATAAAGCATCTTTATTTCAAGCTTTGTTGTAAAACATGAGATCTTCATGAAAGTCTTGAAATGATATAACTAACTTAAAACTGTTATATGTTGCAGAATGAATTTTGCTATTAGATGTCCAGTTTTAGGACAACTTCCTAAGCTCCAGATTTCACATAGATAACTTTTTGTAAAGTTTTTTTCAGGTCGTTTTCTTTCAGACGAATAATGTATCAATGAAATCAAATTAAAATCATGAAAGTAGGCCAAAATGGACAAAGTAGTGTCTGAAATAGAAATAATTTAAAAATTTTCACTTTCTTATCTACATTTGTTTTTATTATATTGTCGAAACTACAATACTCACTTTTGAAGGTGGCCTCAAAATCTCATTAATAGCCTTAACTCTCTTTGCATCCTAAAACATCCGCTAGGTCAAATTATCAAAGGGTACTGAGATTTTATATCTCTGGTTGTTACGCCAGTGAATTATGATTTCATAGGGTTTTTACACTGTAAGTCAGCTCTCTATTTGTTAACCTGATTTCTGATGTCTGTCAATTTGCACACTTCGTTAATTAAAAGACTTGATTAGAGAAAGCAGACATCGAGACATTTTCTCCTTGGCTACGTGAAAGCAGAAAACTTTATAAATTATATGACAAAGGCATTACAACTGGACTGGAAGGACGATTTTCATTGAAATGATGATTGCTATTTTTGTCTTCTTTCAATATGAACCCAGGCTCAAATGGCTTGAAGACATTTAAATTGCTTTTTTTCTATTATAGTCACCCTGTTGTCGGCTGAACCGGAGATCCAATACGTCGCGTTACGAAACATCAATCTTATTGTTCAAAAGAGGTGTGTCTTTAACTTTTATTTAACGTCAATAGCTTTATCCTACAATACTTTTACACATAACCTTCCACTGTTACAATGATGTAAAATTGGATGTTGCCTTGCCCATTATTGGAGTACTTTCAAATGAACTTGTCTCGTTGATGGAAGAGAAACCGAAATTTCATACAAAGGTACTCAGATCTAAGCTGTTGGTATTGGCGTAATTGGGTTGTCTAGACAAGGCAGCTGAACTCAGCCAGTGTCTAAAACTGGATTCGTGTGTTGATTTGCTGAAAGCTAGACAAAATACGAGCCTTTTCTATTTTGAAAAGCGATTTCATAGTTGTCTAGACGTTGTCTAATGATAGAATTTCCTTATTTACGCACCCTTCATTCACTTGGCGTTGAATTCAAAATTCAATGGAAATTATAAGCAGCACATGTTGTCCTACACTTCTCTATTTGTAATTGTCGTGTGCTTTAATTTGGCAATCACACTAAGCTCCCTGAAGCTGCGTATACGCAAACATAACGAAACGTAACATTGAAAACCAGGCTCCAAGTTGTGAAATATGATTTGCCTTAGGATACAACTCTCATGTAGGGCTGTCTAGAATGTTGATAGAAATAGAAACTTCCCTGTTTTCGTGTTATGAGATAAAATGAGCTCCCATAATGGCTGGCTACATTGTTGTACCAAACATAAAGTATCAAAATTGGATGGCCAACCTTGTAACCTAATGGTGTATGCATGACCTGTGAATTATGAAAATTGGTCTTGAGGACTGAAAACTGTTAGCTAGTTTTGCACAATGTTTAAAGATAGCATTTTAGAACAGAAAGGCGTTGTCTATATTCTATTGCTTCTTTTTCTGAAGCATTAGCTGACAGATACTCTGTGATCGATTGCGTTTGTCGTTAAAATCTGCGTACATTTTCTTATTTATAAACACCTGTTTGTTTCTAGTCGTTTGTCAGACAGATTTTTGATAACAACCTTTTATTGGGATGATTTATTTGCGAAATAAATCCTAAGGACAATTTCATTGTCCAATATTTTAAGTTTGAAAGAAAGATTCGAGTTTTTAATAGATTATATAAGTTTATATAACCACAAGTTTATATAAGCATGGGACAACTCAGGCCTATCCATAAGACTTTTAGCAGGGGAACAGTAAAAAGCTTTCCTAGTAGTCTACAGTTGAGCTATTTGTAGATAAATAAGGACAGAAGCAAAGGAAAATTTACTTTTTAGAGCAATTTAGGATAGCAATCTGTAGTTCCCCTCCAGCATTTGAGGAGAGCCTGGAGGTGAGCAAGAGCTTTTGTTCTCTTCAAATGGCCAGGCCTGATAACTGTGAAAAGAAAAACTTTGTTAGTAGAAAGTAGGAAATATTCAAATTTATTGGCAGTCGTATTCTTGGGCTGCTTTTTACGAAGATAATTCTACCTTTTTGTATCATCTACGTCACAATTTAGGGTGAGAAGTGCTACAAGCAGTTTGCTGTTTTTGTTGTCTTGGCTTGCCTTTGTTTCTTTTTTATTTATGCAATTAACATGTTGATAAATTTTTGCTTGAATTTAGATTTAATAATCCAAGTAGTTGTAAATTTTAAACCATTGTGCTTATAATTTCTTACTGCAGACCCGACATTTTGAAACATGAAATCAAAGCATTTTTTGTCAAGTACAATGACCCAATCTACGTGAAGCTAGAAAAATTGGACATTATGATTCGCCTGGCAACGCAGCAAAATATTGGACAAGTTCTTGCTGAACTCAAAGAGTATGATGGGGTTTTTTATTTAATACACTTAGTTCTACTTCTGATAACTGTTTTGCTTCTGGACACATGGTTATTGCTAAATATTAGCCAAGGCAGCCAAGCTACAAGATAATAACTACCGAGGGTTTTGATTTATTTATTTATTTGATCATTATTCTGAGGTTTTATACTTCGAAGAGTATCAGACAAAAAGCTTAAGTATGTTTTAATATGGTTGCTTTTTCAAAGCCATACACGGAGGAAGTCAGACAAAATGTTTCGTGTAGATGTGAGAGTATTGGAACTTAGATATTGAATCACGTGTTAGTAGAGAATGGAAAGAAACAAGAAAGGAAATGACTGTAATGGAGATTAAGGAGAAAACTTTAGGAAGTAATTACTGATTGACTGTACGGTTTATATACTATTTCAAACACAAAAGGGTGTACAGCTCTCTGCATGTACTGAATCAAGCACCATATGACAACAATTCGTAAGGGGCAATGAAAATGAAAGTGCAAAAGGTTGCTATTTGTATTTCTGTTTCGTGCCATAAAGTCTAAATCGTTTTGCAAGCTTTTTTTTCTCATCAAGTATAACTAGGAATTTAAGTAAACTTGTATCGGTGAAGCAGCAATTTTCATTTTCATTACTGTTTCATTTCTGTTATCCCTAGACTGTTAGTTTCACTATTTCATTCATACTGATAATGGCTATGGCATCTCAATTTTTTTGAGAAAATCTACCCACAGTATTTTCAATACGTGAATTTAATAATGTTTGCTTCAATAAAATTACCTTTTTGGTTTATTTAACAAATTACAAACTGATTCAAAACTGGCCTTTAGAAACAGATTTCTTTCGATCATTCATTGATGAAGAAAGGAAGAATATTTGAATTGTTATCGTTTGTATTACGGTGTAGGATGAAATCTGTTTTCTTAATGAACATGGTGTCTGTCTTTATTTTCAGATATGCTACCGAGGTTGATGTCGATTTTGTGAGAAAGTCTGTGCGTGCTATAGGAAGATGTGCAATTAAAGTTGAGGTAGGAGACCTTTTTGATTCATTAAGTTTGGTTGAGAACGCTGGCTTGTGTCAAAAGATATTTTGCTTTCTAAATCCCAATGGGACTCAGGTGCCCAATCAGTAACAACCGCGAGGGGATCTGAATCTTCATGAATCGGCAGCCACCAGGGTCAGCCAATTGGTTCAATGTCTAGCCCTTTGTAATATAAAGGAGCAATTTGAAGGTCACACGTTTTATAGTGCTGTTGCAAAGATTGAACCTCGCGTCTAAATTCTGCCTCCTTGGTTTCCCTCCGCCACTCTTTTAAGGGAGTCGCATGTTTTTCACAGATTATCTCCTTCTGATATAAGTTCATGCCTTCAGTAAGAGGGCAATGAAAATGGTAGTACAAAATATTGCCATTTGTATTTCTGGCCTGGGTCGTCCTTATAAAGTACAAATCGTATTGCAAGCTTATTTTTTCATAGAATATAACTAGGAATGTAAGTAAAATTGTACTAGGAAACAATGAAAATGATAGTACAAAATATTGCCATTTGTATTTCTGGCCTGGGTCGTCCTTATAAAGTACAAATCGTATTTCAAGCTTTTTTTTTCATAGAATATAACTAGGAATGTAAGTAAAATTGTACTAGGAAACAATATCGAATTTATTAGCGGCATTGAAACAAGCATATAGCCCTTTATTAAGTGAAGATAGAAAGCAATAATAGAACTGAGTAAAGTAAAGGGGAAATTGGACTCGATAGATGGAATAGAACGAAGGATGCAATGCATAGCGAATTCGCTTGAAACGTGGTCAACAAATCCGCTATTTGTCCTAGTATTATTTTACTTAAATTCCTTCTTATATTCTGTTATATTGTTCACGGAGCATGCTAGTATATTTATCGAATTCTTATTTTTATCAGCCCTGCAATCAAACCAACCTGCCTTAACAAGCGTGTCATTCTTTATTTCGGTCTATGTCTTAACAGTTACCTAAAGCTCTTCCATATTCGGCTGATTGATATGAAGTTATAGAAACATCTTTTGTTAGAGTAATCGCAGTTCCTATACGAAAATTAGTTGTTGATTTGACGAGATCAAATTATCTAATTAACTATCTGATTTAATGTGAATGAAAAGGGAACCACTTGTTTTGCCGTTGAGTTTTATGCCTGTAATCAAATGCACACCCCAAGAGACTAAGCAATGTCTGGCAGCAAAGACATATGTTCATTCCGGCCTGATATCTAGATTGCTCGGCGATAAAGACGCCCTGAAAACGTTGTTTAAAAGAAAGAGAACATTGATTGAAGATACTGAGTTATCTCTGGTTTTTTATCTAATTTAAAATTTGACAGATCAAACAGTGTCATTCATATTACATTTTTTTTACAAGATGCACAGAGGCATTTAACGTGGCGTCATTTTCTGGGATAACATTTCTGGGGTTTTTTCTAGACGCTTTCCAATATTCAGCGTAACTGCACGAGGTCAAACGGTTTTCAGCAAACTGCTCTGTTCATTTGTCATTTGAAAAAGTAAAGAGCGTCTTCATGTGTTGTTTTTTTACTTTTCGAATACTGGTAGGAAGTATAATCCACTCAAACAACACCGAATGATAACACTTGTGGTTTGTGGAAAACAATTTACCGATTCAAATTGAAAATCATTGTGGCCTAATTCACTTGGTGCTTGCAAATGCTTTTATTTGTTGCTAACTGATTTTTCTGTCTCATGTGTGATTGGTGAATACTTGCTTGTTATCAATTAACTCGCAAGCAGTATTATTTTAAACTAGAAAGAACAGTTAATTTCGTAGTACACTGCCTGGGCTCATCCCTGTTTCAGAATATCACATACATTGCACTGAAAAGAGGACCCTTTAAGATGGTGACCTAAAAGCCTCTCCAGCTACTCTGTTTGTGTTAGTCTGCTTAACAAAATTGGCTGCAAAGTTGGTTTATATCTAGGACAAACAGATCTATAAGACTTGAGAAAAGTAGATATTGAACATTCTCGATTGGGGCGTTCACTCTCTATTTCAGTTATTTCAGCATCTTTTTGTAGATTCCTCATAGAGATTCGTATGTTTTTAACAAATAGCTAGGATAGTTCGTAGGAAAACATAAATTCAAACATCATTCTTTTTTCAATATGCTATCAACCTCTTGTTGTATATCATAAGTATTTCCGAACTATCAATTTCTATTTTTTCATTTAGCAATCAGCTGAGAAATGTGTGACGACACTTCTGGATTTGATTCAGAACAAAGTAAATTACGTGGTGCAGGAGGCCATAATTGTTTTGAAGGTGAGTCTGGGTCGTCACTCAGTCCCAAGTTGAGTTGGCATTGTCTTCAAGTTTAACTATTTCTGTTGTCCTGTCTGGCGTCTTACTTGTTGAATTTTTTAAGAACAACTTCATTGTACTGCTTTCCAGTTAGAGGCACCATGTTCCATCAGTCAACTGTTCAGAGTTGACAATAGGCTTTGCAGCGGGTTTAAAATCGAGAAAACATTAAAGATTAGCCGATTGGCTTCGTAGCAATAGGTCTTTTGTAAAGTCCAACCAATAGGAAATTTAAATGGCAAGTTAAATGCGTCGGGGCATAGTACCTTTAAGAGATGCCTTTTAACCAAATGCATTTAATATGTTAGTAGGTAATCGTGATTAATTACACGATCCAGAACAGTTGCCGTGTCGCATATTAAAACAGAATGGGACAGAAACACCTTATTGGTTCGCTTAAACAGAATGATTTCATTCTAGCTACCCTGCTGTTTGGCAACTTTGATAAGCTAGCTCATTTTATTATCAATGCAAACACTTTTTGGTGGCTGTGTGATGAATGCTCTGTTTGCTCAGAATCAGCTTTTTTTAATTTAGGCTTTTACTGCCAATTTCTCAGTTAGTCTCTCTCTTTTACTGATTGTATCATATAAATCATCATAATTATTAAAAACTACTATTAACAGTTTAGGCAGAACGATACACGCTTTGTTGTGTAGAGCAGATTCGAAATGTGTAAGAGTCTTCAGAGCCCCAGTTTTGGGTTTTGTAAATTCTCAGAAATTCGAGTTTTTCCGCTGTATTTAACAGCTGTGAAATAAATTTTCTTTTTTATCTTAGGACATCTTCAGAAGATACCCAAACAAATACGAGGGGATCATTGCTACGCTGTGCGAGAATCTTGACTCACTTGACGAACCGGAAGCACGGTATGTGTTGGAATTTATTCAGAAAGTGTCAATTTGTTCTTACCGAAGTTTCGAAACAGTCTCGAATTTCGCAAAAATTCAAATATATCAAACAATATATTTAGATAATATATTAAACAAATGGAGACCACAATCACCATGCATATAGCCTTCCACTTACAATGTTCATAGCTTAGAGAACTCATGTGGATGTTTATAGATAAATAATAGTAATAAAGATGATAAACACAATGTCTAAATTCAATACTTCACATCTTAGCGCATCAATGATATGGATCATTGGAGAGTATGCAGAACGAATTGACAATGCTGATGAGCTTTTGGCTACGTTCTTAGAAGGATTCCAGGATGAAAATGCTCAGGTATTTCATTATCAGCGAATAACAAAATGCTAATTTTTTTATATGAAAAGGTAACGGCCTAGTTTTATCTATGACCATGACAACAAACCAAAACTCAGATTTTGGGATAGTTGGAGGGTCATGGTAGCCAACCTTCTGATAAAAGATGGTACCTGATGATGATGAATGGCCTAGTGCATTTTTCTCAAAAATAATGGAGCATTTTCTTTGCAGTTTATACATAAAAATCTTTTGTTGATTTAGCTTTCAGTTCTGTGTTGTAAGAAAGACCAGTTTCTTATGTTTTAAACTGTCGTGAAAATATTTAAGGTGCCAAATGTGCCAATTAAGTCATTACTTTTTTTCCTCGTACACAGGTGCAGCTGCAGTTGCTAACTGGCATAGTGAAGCTGTTTTTGAAGAGACCAACAGATACCCAGGAATTGGTGCAACAGGTTTTGAGTTTGGCAACGCAAGACAGTGACAATCCTGATCTTCGAGATAGAGGATATATTTACTGGAGATTGCTGTCGACCGACCCTGCTGCTGCGAAGGTAGTTATCGTTATAGACAAGCCTAGCATATCAAATACGTACCTTCGTGATTCGAGATTTCTTCCGAACAGCAAATTAATGATTGCTTCCCTAGAACAATGTTTAGGAATATCTCTATTTCTACAAGGACTTTTTGTATACACCAACGATCTTGTTAAGCGATCTTCGTGATTCAAGATTTTGCTTTACGTAGTTCTCCCAGCTTTTTGACGGCTTTTTACGCACTCTTCGTAGAATCTTTTTGTAACGATCTTTTCTAGAAAACTCATAGTTTAGCAGTATTTAAACCGTTTCAACGCATATTCTAGGATGTGGTATTGGCTGAAAAACCATTGATATCAGAGGAAACCGATTTACTGGAGCCGAGTCTCCTTGATGAGCTTATATGCCATATATCTAGCCTCGCATCGGTGTACCACAAGCCTCCTAGCTCGTTTGTTGCTGGTCGCACCCCGGTTCGTCGTGCTGCTCTACCTTCGAGAATGGAACCCGCAGGGGAGCCTGACGACGGCACTCCAGTGCTGGAAACCGCCGAACCGGCTGCCCCAAGTCAGCCTGCCGCTGCACCCCAAGCCGGAGGAAACTTACTCATTGGGGATCTCCTGGCAATGGATTTCGGAGCTAAACCCACCCCAGCCCAACCAACTTTCCAACCACAACCCCCTATCCAGCAAGCACCACCAGGTTCAAATGTTTTTTGTGATTATCATGTCATTATGAGACTGTTATATGAGTGCACTTTTTTTCTTCGACAAGAACAGTTTTTACAGAACACTAGCCTTAAAAATGATTTAAAATTGAACACAAACCAAGAGCGAGCTGGGGCTAAGGTACTACAAATTAGACGAATGCAAGTACATTTTGTGTATTATTTTTAATGAAGACATATCTTTGATGACAGGGTAATATTTTACCAATTGCTTTTTAAGCAAATCCTGCATTGTCCGTATCAAATTTTGCTCTACGGCAGGTCCGTAGCCAAGGGGTAAAATGGGGTGGCAATGGAGTAAGAGAGTAACAGCTGTTTGTCACCCCGGTAATTTTATCTGTACATTTTTTAATGGGGTTTTTCGCCGTTTGTATTGAATTGCCATGACATATTGAAGCGCTGTCTGTAATGAGAGAGGACCTTAAGAAGCAATGTGCAAACTGAAGCTCCATGTGCAAAATAGTTGCTGATTTCCAAACAAAGGAAACTAAATGCATTGAGACCAGCAACATTTTTTCCAAGCACTTTCATGATTTAGTCAGCACTCTCCGTCAGTACGACATAAACAGTCAAAGCTTCTAGTATTCAAGAATCGTTGCATCTGATGGATGTGGACGTCCAGGAAAAGTCAACACAGCTTTATGGGAGACAATGGAAGCTAGCTCCTTCTCATCGTTTATCAAATTTTCTTATGTAAAGGACCCTAATACCTCTATACAAATATGCAGCGAACAGTTTCCTGTTATGGAGAAAATGTTGGAGAAGCTTATTACGTTTTCTCCAAACAGTTTGCAAAACCTTCTCTAGAGTGCTTAAAGATGTAAAAATGCCAAAATAGCGAGTTTCGAAAGATAGATTTAGCGACTGTATAGAGCAAGCACACCGATACTCGCAAATCTTTATTAATTTTTATAAGTTGCAGTTACTGCTGGCTTCACATAACGACTTTGAAGAGTGGTTGTTTTCTGCATTAACAAGGGTAGATTCCCCTAAGTGAAGTTCTTTGCGGACGGAGAGGGAGCCCAATCTTGCATGTCTGGCGTTTGTAAAGAAGATCTTGATGAAGACACAACAATTGAAAATTTTCTAGCTGAATAAAAACTAGGAGGGAGAAAGTTGTTCAATTGCTGAAGACAACTTGTTTTGCTTCTTTTTACCATTAACTCTACCCACTCCCTCCCACACCTACAAGAACTTCACTTTAAACTTTGCCTGCGTTGGACACGGAGCATTTGCCACCTCTACTCCACAGGCCTGGCTACGGGCTTGCTTTGTGGCTTAATATTGTCTCATGACTAAATCTCTTCAACTTACCCCTCTGGTAATTTAAGCCGAATTAAAACAATCTAGCGTACAGTTTTTGTAGAGAAATTACAAACAGCCAGCCTGAACTTCAGTTTACAATACAGAGTGTACTGGTCAAACTCGATTGCAATGTCTAACGGCTCTTGGTTGTGTCATAATCTCTAGGCTAAACGTTCTGGTGGTCCCCGTCCAAAGACGTGCCCTTTAAACTTAAAACTATCATGATATTATCAATTCAGGTTTTTATTCCAGCTAATTCAGTTTTCCTTGTCGAAATGGGCGCTCTTTTTCAAGACTAATTATAATTTAATTTCACTAATTCAACATTAAATTCCCCTCCCATTTATATTTAAAACTCTATGATTGACGTCATCTTTCTCGTATTTTTCTAATGATATCCTGACTTCTTTCCAAAACGACAACTCGTTGTACATAACTTTTGTATTTTATACTTAGCGGGTGGAATCGATCTTCTTAGCGGCGACCTTGGAGGATTATCTGTGAGTTGAAATTTTTAAGTCATATTTTAGCATGCTTAATTTGAATACCAACTGGCTACTTGTCTAAGCCAGTTAAACAAAGAGTTTTTGTATTTCAACCGAACCTTGAAAAACGCTATATTGTAATGATTTGTCATCAAGATATTAGTGCCCTGTCAATTACCTATTCAAATTTCCCAGATTTATCTGTTTTTTCGATCGGGTCATATCTCTTTTTAGCGTGGAGTAATTGATTTAAAAGGCTTTTATTTGACAAGGCCTTACGAACTGGCCTTCCAAACAACCGTAACTCATCTGTGATAAAACCGTAACTCATCTGTGATAAACCTGTGTCGTTTCGCCATTGGTTGTTTTCCTAACGACTGAGCCTGTTCAAGAAGACACCCGGTCCGTTGCTTTTTTCGTGTCACAGCAAACAATAAAATGTGAAGAGAGTTGATTTTGATATTGCATTCAAAAACGGCCTCCTATTATCGTCACCTGTGCCTTTTTCGACAGTTGCGACAACTCGACTTCATTTAAGTTTTTGCTATTTTTCCATATTATTTTTTATATGGAACGTAGCTACCCAACTTCATTTATCAGTATTCTGAAATATCAATCTTTGGTCTTTGAGATATCGAAACGTATCATGAAATAAATAGTTGCTTACCTATGAACTGAAAATTTATATTTTCTTTGAATTCTTAATTACTTATATATCTTCGCAGTTGGGAGAGCAACCTCCTCCACAGCCCTCGTTCGGCGGCGCTGCAGGCATTGGAGATCTCTTCAGTCTCAGTGGTGCAGTGTCATCGGCTGGCTACACCCCGCCAAAATCTGTAAGTTTCAGTTTAATAGTCTATCAACTTCACAGAAATTAATGGCTCTTTATTCGAATTCTGATAAAACGAAATGAACAAAACAAGCTTCTTGCGGATAAACAGCCGAAGTATTATAATTTACAGTATATAGCAGCTTGGCTTCTCAATACTTCGACTGCCTGATGATTCCGCTGCCCCATAAGTCGAATATTTTTTAATCGAGCGGACAAGTGTAACAAAAAACAATTTTTAGAGCGTCTGTCTTTAGGACCATGCGGTCTGAAAGAACACCGGGCAATATCTTGATGTTTTGAAAATCATTTAAATCTGTTACAAATCGGCTGAGATATGGCTCGTTCCCTATAATATCATTAATTTTTCCTTGGTTCTAAAATTTACGACCCTGTCCAAAATAAAAGTTACCCATTAACAAAGATTTAGATTGTACACTGGCTATATCTCAGCAAATTGACAACAAATTTGACTGATTTAACTCTAGTAATCATACTTGATGGTGTAATTTCGGGTTATTTTATAACTTCAACAGTTAACCAAAGTTCAGCAATTCAGCAGCTAAAAGTTTAAATTGAATTTTTCCTTTTTTTATTTGAAAAATTATTCTGTGCCATTAACCAGCAAATAAAAAAAGGGTAAACATTTTGCTATAGGTTTTAAAATAATAGTTTTGATTTAGCACAAAGTCAGTTTATCTGCATGGATCTTTTGATATTCTGGGACTCTAAAGATGCTTTAGTTCATTCTAGGGAATTTTGATAGTAAAATAAAATAAAGCTACGTTTGTCTCTTCATCTGACCAATTATCATATTTTTCTGGTTTTTTTGTTTTTATCAACAATAAATCTTTGTCAAATATGTTAGGCAAGTAAGAGCGGCATTCGTTGCATATGGCACAAGCTAAATCAAATTTGCCTGTATCTGGGTATAAGACTAAATTTAATGTAACATCGTGTTTGTTAAGAGTCACTTTCCCATTTTTAGATATGGCTGCCAGCATCCAAGGGAAAAGGTCTTGAAATTTCGGGTATGAGTTAGATTGTATTACTTTCTTTTTCATTATAAAATAGATTTTGCCTAGACATTTTTGATTATATAGATGTACCGTAAATTCTCCAATTGGCCCCCCTCGAAAAGGACTCCCTCCCTCGAATAAGCCCCCACTGCTACCCTAAATCCTCGAATTGGCCCCCTTGATTTGTTGATTGTTGTCATCTAGGGTTTCTTTGGTGTTTTATTGAATTGCCACTAAAGCTAATACTTTTGATAATAATTAATCCAATGTTAATAAGGAAATTTCTACTAAAATATATGGTGTCTTTTAATAATGTCTTCTTGATGTCTACTATAATTTTATAGCCCCCCTCGTATAAGCCCCCCTCTTCGAATAACCCCCATCCAAAAATATAGAAGATAAATAAGCCCCCAAGGGGCTAATTCGAGAATTTACGGTATATCTCTATCGTTACTTCAGGAACAAATATTTAAGGTAACCTATTTGAACCCTTACATTCAAAGTTTGTTTAGAAAATTGTCGCTGGTAGAACATCTGTTCAGCCAGCATGAAATCACTGGATTATTTTCACATTATTTTGTAACAATCTCCTTACTGAAAGCTTGAGTATAACACTAAACATATCCTTACAAGTCACCCTGGTGTACTGAAATACAGTTCAGTCGTACTCCGAATAACACGAACTTTTTCTAAATCGGACAGATTTTCAATTCAAATTGGATATTCCTACTTTAATCAAATCAAAAGTCGTACTCAGGATAAATCGGGCATTCGTTAAGTCGGGCATTTTCTTACACCTTTGAATTCTGACTAAACAGGATTGAATTGTATGTATTTCTATTAAAAGTGTTATTGATACTGTACTTATACTGTCTCTTGCTATAGTTACGCTTTGTTTATCAACAGGCACATTTAGTCGTCGCCAGGGTCATATTTACATGGATCTTACATTCACCAACGTAGCGATGCAAGCTATGGGAGGGTTCGCGATTCAGTTCAACAAAAACAGCTTTGGGTTAACTCCTGCTGCCCCGTTACAAGTCAATACACCTCTACCACCAAACCAGAAGGCAGATGCATCATTGCAGCTCAATACCTGTATGCTAGCTATCTGAAATACCTATCTAGAATTGCTGGTTTGATTGTTCATTGTTAAATATAGTACAATCAATAAAGTACAAGCAAATTGAATGTCCAGCCTTCCTCTTTAGCTCTTCCTTCTTCTCGATAATCAATGACGTTGTGCGTGTTGTTCGTCGGAAATGAACAAAATTTGATAAAATAAAATAACGACTTTTTACAAGAAATGAATATTTCGAAACGTTGTACCAAATATTCATATCTTGTACAAAGTCGCTATTTTATTTTATCAAATTTTCTTCCTTCTTCTCCCTTCTTCTTTAGCCCTTTCATCTTTTTTCTTTCTGTTTAACCCTTCATGTTTAGCCCTCCCTGTTAGGTCCTTTCTCTTTAGCCCTTCCACTTAAACTATTCTCTTTAGCCCGTCCTGCTTCCCCCTTTTTGTTTAAAGCCCTTCTGCTTTCGCCCTTTCTTTTTAGCCCTTTCTTTTTAGCCCTTCCTCTTAAGCCCTTTCTCCACAGCCCTTTATTTTTCTCGTCAGATCAGTTTGAGTCAAAGTATAAAGGCTCTTAAATGACAATGTTTTGCGATCAATGTCAATTCGTACAATCTGAATATAATCCATCAAATTCTAGTCTAGAATTCACTGCATTTCATAAATGGGTTTTGTCCTATCAGGATCTGGTCTCCTACAGCTGTTCCTCAAAGTCTGCATGTTGTCTTTAATTATTGTTCTTGTTGCGTTATGTTCCCCTTTTCACTATTCGCTTCCATTTTCTCTTAAAATGCTAAATCATGTTACCATGAAACGCTCTATATTCTGTGTAATGTGTAATATTTCAGCCGGTCCTGTCCAAAGGATGGATCCTCTCAGCAACTTGCAAGTGGCAATTAAAAACAACATCGATGTATTCTACTTTGGTTGTGTTGTTCCTCTTCACGTATACTTTGTTGAAGATGGTGAAATGGGTAAGCTTCATATCTCCTTTCATATCTTGGTTTTGTAATTCACTTCCCTAAAAAGGAGAGGTGTTTTTTAGGTCTCTTGACTCAATTTTCGAACAATTTGGTAAGAGTCATGAAGTCTCAAAGTCTGAATATAGCTCATGTTTTCGTCCAAGCAAGTCGACTCAGAAGGCCATTATCTTCTTCTCTTGGTTTATTTCCAGTCAGAGTTGCCCATGCGAACTGCATTTACCTTGACTAAGCGGCGAAACAGTCCCCGGTTATCAGTCATATTCCTTACTTCCTGCTTCGAGCCAATTTCCAATTCTACGAAGTGCACCTTATTATTTGCTAGTAATATAAAAGAAGAATAATAGGGCAAATGCTTTAATTTTCACAGCTTCTCCCAAATAAGACCATGATTTTGCTAAATAGAAGCAAAAGTGTTCCACAGATTTTGGATTATCCAAATGAAATTTGTTGTCTTTTTGATAGTTAGTTATTATTTGTATTGATATTTTAGCTCCATTTTACCCCTGTGGCATTTGATTTACTCTTAGATCGAAAAGTTTTCCTCGCAACATGGAAAGATATACCAGCGTCCAATGAAGTACAAAGCCAGATTACCGATATTCAGTTATCGCCAGGTATGCCTTCGCAAAAACTTCATATATGGATTTAGAAAACGATCTAGAGATGCCCTAATATTGAGAAATTTGAGGGTATACAAGAAAATGTTTTTACAATGTATCTTAACAGTTGTTTATTTTCTAATAGATGCAGTTCAGCAAAGATTTGCAGCCAATAACATCTTTACAATTGCTCGTAGAGTCGTAGATGGACAGGTGAGCTCTTTGTTCGTTGATCTTCTTTATTTAATACATTACATAGATTTAATACCCCAAGATATATAGTAAGAAGCCTTTTAGAAATAAACTTCTTTCTGTTATGATCCATAAGCTTCATTTCAAGACTTTTTCTTGATGGTAAATGATCAAGGAATAAATTTGCATGACAATTACATGCCATCTTAAACTCCTCGTCTTCGTCAAATTATAGGAGATGCTGTACCAGTCTGTGAGATTTACTAACGGTATCTGGGTGATGGCAGAACTCAAAATGATTCCAGGCAATTCCATCATATCGGTTAGTAAACTTCTTCTATTACCGTGAAAGGCATTTTATCCGTTTTGATGACGTCACAAAGCATACCAGATTTCAGTCGAATGACGTTTTTTTGTTGTTACACAAGTTCTTGGAGTCGTATAAACCTATTTTAAAACTGTGGGAGTCATCTGCTTGTGAAAAAATGCTAATTCAGAGTTGATTGATACTCCTACAACCCTGCCGTGAACTGCTTTTATTTTCGTGAAAGGCATTCTATCCGTTTTGATGACGTCACAAAGCATCCCAGATCTCAGTCGAATCACGTATTTTTGTTGTTTCACAAGTTCTTGGAGTCGTATGAACCTAATTTTAAACTGTGGAAGTCATCTGCTTGTGAAAAAATGCTAATTCAGAGTTGACTGATACTCCTACAACTCTGCCGTGAACTGCTTTTATTTTTTTGTAGCTGGCGCTGAAAACCAGAGCTCTTGATGTCATTCAAGGGGTTCAAGAAGTGTATGAATCTATTCTTCGCCAGTAGATCTTATTATGGACAATAATACAAGATAATGTCTCTGGGATATGTATTCCATTTAATTTGATAATGATGATAGTTATAAAATTTTCTTTACTCCGGCTTGATTTTCTTGGTTTTTCGTGACATATAGATTTGTTTGTTATCAGAGATCAATATTGGTGAGCTAGTCTCCTTTGTTTTTGTAAAAACCTTGCTAAAAGACTTATTTACTGCCTCCTGGTTCATGGAGTCCAAACTCTAATGTAGGGATTTAAGGTAACGGCACAGCCAAATGCTTCACTTCAATATCCTCTCTCGAATAATTTAAAGAGGGGAAATCTTTCACAGAAGCTAGTTTCAAAGGGCTACCAAAGTTTACAAACGTTTTGAAATAGTAAATGCAGCTTGTTATCAATTGGTCTTTAAGCCATCAGCAATTTCTTAGAAATCTGCTAAAAAGTTCTACTGTTTTTTAAGCCGATTAAATGTTGGTAAATGTTGGTTGGTACACAATTGAGTGCTATTTTTTTAAACATGTTAAAACCGTTGTACACAAAGAATCCCTGTAAAGTAAGAAGTCTACAGTAAATCCATTAAGTCTACAGTAAGTCTGTTTAAGGGCATCATTTTTACGTCAACATTTCCATTTCCAATCTTCAGTTAATTGTAATTAACAAGTCTTTACTCGGTGTTCTGGTAATTTGCATTATTAGTTTTGAGTTTCTTTCGCAGTAGAGGGTTTAACCTTATCAAAAACGCTAAAATCCAAAATAGTTCCCGTTTTCTTGTTTTTTTAACGATTTCGAAATGGTCTGAGCTTCGTAGCCATAGTCTCTAATTTTTTGGAAGGGAAGTGAAAGATCCATGTCTTTTATTGCGTTTGGAAACGTAACTTGCTGATAGTCTTGAGAGTAAAAGGGCATAAAGGTGTCTTCAAAGGAAACCATGCTTGCTGTAAAATCCTCATATGTTTGGTAAAAGGTCAAAAAAGTGAAAAATTGCTTATAGATACCTTTCACGGGATAATTTTTTCAGAAGCTTCTGAATTTCTTTTACAACGAACCTCTGGAAGGGCTAAATCTCTGGAATCATCCATTGAAGATTGATGCAAAAGGAACACTCATAAAGCTACAAAATTCTGTATTAATGAAGAAGTCAGCAGTCTCTTTGTACGGAATGGGGATGTAAACGAAGGGGATGGTTATTAGAAAATCTAATGTACTAGTTTATCGCCTTGAAAATACCAGACATCAAACGAAAGATAACCAATATGGAGCAGAGAGAAACTAAAGAGGACCACTGTCAAGACTTATGTTCTTTCAGAAGACAGTCAACCAGGAAATAATACCATATCATGAGGATGACGGTGGGTTTACCGCGATTGGCCTTTAACTTAGAAAGATTGCTTGTTATTTTTCGTTGCAGCTTTGATATCTTTTGTCTAAACGGGTAGATTTTCGACCTTTTAGATTTGAGTCTCCTGCCAGAAAGAACCAAGGAATGTGGAAAGGGTCCTAATCTGTGTTGCCATGACTAAAGGTCCCTAAAGCAATTTCGTGGTTGCTGCTGTTATCATGTTTGTTCCATGAGTACGAAACAAACATGTTTCATTATAGTTAATTTTATTAGTAAGAATATTTGATTGTAGATGTAGGAGCAGCTATGTAATCATGTTTTAGAAATGTATCGCTGACATATTTTATCAGATTTCTGGCTGCTTCATAAGGGTTGTTCTGGGAAACCACACCGCAAGCTGCGATTTAGAGGTTCATAGGGATACGAGGAGTTCCAAATAATCTGATGCGCGCGACAATACGAAGGTTAGGATAGTGATGGTGCCTGGTATCGCCAAGAATGTTGTTTATAACAACACAACTGGTTGCTGTTCTACTTTTTATCAGTATTTATGCAGCAGGTAATTATTTTTTGATTTGATGATTTTTATTTATTCGTTCGTCAAAGCCGATCGTCGTTCTGCAACATAAGTTTACTATAGGCCTAATGATCTAGACCTAGGGACCCTGCCAGGCTGCTTAGCGGGGTGTTCATATTCAAAACGCTAATTATAAGCTTGGTAGAGAAATGAATCGTTGCTGTTTACTTAAGAAACTACCTGCTTAGATGTGATTGTTAACTTGTTAGCAGGTAAACACCGCAAACTTGCTTGTTAACACTTCTAAACTCAAATTCAAATTTGCTTAGTACGGATGTCTTTTTTGAACCTAAAAAAAGAAATTGTCAGATATCTTCCAACCAGAAATTCCCAGATAAAGATACAAATACCCTTTTATTTCTCTTTGATATATTTAAATAATACTGGATTTATAACTTACCAGTACTTAATTCCTTTATTGTGCCAGTAAAGTCATTAGATTTTGCATCAGTTGTATTTCTTTCCCAATCCTTGACATCAGTGGCAGGCGTAGAAACAAGGACCACAGAACATATTACGGATTGAGTTCGCTAAAACGGTTTGGGGGCTAAACATGCAACATACCAAGAGCAGAGCCACTTTTATATGGTTTTGAGTACATTTTAGAAATTATTTAGGGGGCTATAGCCCCCTCAAACCCCCTCTGTTTCCGCAGTCCTTGCTTATAGTGTAGACCTAGAGAGACAATTTTATATTCAATCTTAATATTGATCATTGGATGGCAAGTTCTGAACAAATTGGAAAAAGACCATTAGCAAGTTGCCTTCCCAAAAGCAATTTAAACAAGTTTAGTTTCCTAGCAAAATATTATTTCATAAGCCCTTTGTGGTTACCCTGTCCTTTCTGTTTATTTTAAGTTGATACCAACTTATCCATTTGGTTTGTTATTACAAATAACCACATAACAACATCATGTTATTCTAACTGAAAAGGGTACATAATTTTTGGCACAATTATTTTTCATTATTTCAAATTCATTATATTCACAAAAACCTGTGGATTAGTGAAGTAGTTTGTGGACTAGATGTCCCCGGCCAATAAAACTAGGGGCAGAGACTTAACACCTTCTTCCTAACAATGAGCTCTGAGTCCTTTCATACCAACTTTATAGCTGAGTCTAAGAGTTTAGAGTAAATGATATGCCTGTATTGACATGAAGATAGATATTGTATCTTCTGTTTTTGTGTCTTTCATATTTTGTATTTCTCAGCTGCTACTAAATATGATACTTGGTTGCACTGTCTTTCAAATGCAACTTTATATGCTTATATACTTTAATCATAATTGTTCCTGTTAATGTTGATCATGACTATCATGCTCAAATGAGAGCAATAGCTAAACTATAGCTATGATTTACTGATTTGCCAAAAATAGAATTCTTCAGTTGGCTATCTTCCAGACTCTGAGAATCTTTTGAGGAAATTAAATTTGTATCAGTCAGTGAGCAGAAAAATTCAGATAAGCTCTAGTATGGTAAATTACTCGTTGAAACACAATTATATAATTGTAGCTTAATTTTCTATTTTTTGACTCTTTTTTATTTTCACATGTATGATATTTTAGGGGGGGGGCTAAACCCCATGCCTACTAGCTGCTGCACCCCTCTCCATTGATGCCTTTAATTTATGGTACCCAACGACAAAATTAGCAAGATTGATGTGAATGAATGGTTCAGTTGTAAGAGGTGCTTAGCACTGCTTTCCATACTTCAGTGTACTAAAAGTTTGTTAACTCTTTTTAATTATTGAATATTTTCATTACAGATGAGGGAACAGCAAAAGTGGAACCACATCCAAACATAAAAACTGTATGTCTTCAATGTGAAAAAAGGAGAAAAGTTCTGGTTATAAATCCTGAGAGGAAGATTCAATATGGACAGGATGAATTTAATTCTTCAGCAGAAAAATGCTATTTTGATTCATTTAAGGCTAAAGAGAGGGAAAGAAAAGCCCCAGACAGTAGTATTCTGCCTGCATTGACCATAATTTTTGATTGGGTGCGTAGATTGTTTGCAAGCCATTTTGTGGAGCTTCCATCCAAACAAAACTGCATCAATTGTAGAAAGAAAAGTGTTTTGCTTAGAAATGACTTTTATTTAAAGCAAAGTGACTACATCCTACATATTAGAGAAAATATATTCTTAGTTTATTCTTATGCAAAAAGATGCAAAAATCCACAATTTCATAGAAAACCTAAAAGAACATATGGTAACCTGCTAAATAACAGAAAACCAGATGTAGGTCAACTTGTCAAAATACTGAGGCACCCAGAAACAACCAATCATAGTTTTGAAATTAAAAAGAAATTGAAAAGTGAAAAACGAATTGGAAATGGACAGCTGTTTGATTGCATTTCCAGCAAGCAAGTTTCCAAGCAAATGCTTTACTCTGTTTCATATTTCAAGCATGCAAAATTTGTTTGCAAACTACAAGAATTTAAGAATCATCAAATTGAAGACATTGAGGGAAAGTCAAATTGTTTTCAAGACAAATCAAAAGGCCATTGTGTCTTTTTTCAGCATCTTTTCATGAACATGAAATGTCCAAACAAAAACATTTTTTCCCGAAAAATAACCAGAAAGACATCTAAGGCTCGAACCGATGATGACTTTGCACTGCATAAAGTTCAATCTAGGAAACCTCTTCAGGGTTTTAAGTGGTTTCAGATACTTGATAATGGTAAAAACAGTTTTGTTTCACAGAGCATCTTTGGATTACATTGCAGAAGCAAAAAGCATTTGCCCAAAGGTGAACCTTGCAGATCGACTATATTTTTCAATAAACAAGTACAAAAAAGGATGGAGTTTCCACAGTACTTTGAACGATTTGAAAGCAACAATGTTTGTAAGCTTAAATTGCCTCAGAGATACCCTCTATGCAAAGCAGAAGTTGTTGCAGAAGATTATATCATCACAGCTGAGTTGCAAGGAGGTAGCACCAGCGCTGATGCAAGCAATGTAAGAATTTTTCGCGACATCTCTAATGTGTGCTTTGATCCAAAGAGTATTATTTTTTTCCGCAAATGCCCTGCTCAATTATCATTGAAGATTGTGAACAAAACGGATTCAGAAACGAGTCGTGAAATTACCGGAGATGGTTTTGAGAATTCAAGAATATCACCAGAGCTCGAGGAATCGTCTGCATACAAAGAGGTATTGCCTACACTTTCAACTGAAGCCGAAAAGGTTGCTTCTGAAGTTGTTGAAAACAACTTTATGTCAACAATAGGTGACGACAATATGAATTGTGGATCCGAAGAGACACTAGAGCTCCATCAATCACAGGCAACCACTGTTCAGATATCGAAACGTGATGCACCAAAAAGTTCATTAGCCATGGAAATTTTCAAAGGAAGTAGTGAGGAGAGAATGCAAACGAAAACTGAACAACTGAAGCTGCTTGTTAGCGCCTACAAAGAAGATAAAGTAAAAACTGCAAACAGTGTTTTACCATTTGAGAAACAAAACTTTGAAGACGTCACTCAGGAAATTATATCACCATTCACAACAGAGGCGCTAACAGATCAAGGATCTGAGACTTCCTTTTTTGAGAAAATTGAACCTGCATCTTCAAATCAACCAGATATGCGTATGAGAACATCAGAAGCGCCCAAGCTCAAAAATGAGGACAATGAAGATCCACAGCCATTTAAAGGCGTGGAACCCGGATTGCATTATGAAACCAGCAAAGAATCTTCGTATTTTGAAGATCAAAAGCCACTGCTTGTTGGTAATGAACAACCATTGGAAGCAACAGTGCTAAGCAGGTCAATTCAGGCTACCCAAAGTATTTCTTCTAACTCCATTTTAGGGGTGAACTTTGTGAAAAGCGAGACCACAAAAGAAGAGTTGGCTAATGATTCAGGTGAATCATTGGGAACAAAAGTAGATCTGAATGAGGAGTTAGAGCCAACAGTAGCCGTAGATGAGCAACAAAAAATGCGAAAAGGGTCTGCTTCGTTGGATAAACAACCGGATGAGATATGGAGAGATGTAGTATCCTCGGCTTCATCTGAAGAATATCAGGCTATTGACGTCCCACCAACCAAAGGGGAAGGGTCTGAAGCCATAGGATTAGAGACAGAAGAATCAGATCTAGACAGAGCATTACCAGTGGAAGATGGCAAAATTGAAAAATTATTAGAGCAAACAAAGCCTTCAACAGTGCCAGCAGCTTCTGGTGATGAATTACTTTCAATACACGAGAGTCCACTGTCAAAGGTCGTTGCTGAAATGTCGTCATACAACAGGCTAGGAAAGGAAATGCTGCTGACGGGGCTTCTAGAAAATAAAAGGAAGGTTGCGGAAACAGATAGGCCCTGCTTAACCGTTAAGGAACCCAGTAAGGCCTCTGAAATTAGCAATGCGCCTCTGGTATCTCTTGAAGCTTTAGAAGTGCATTTAGAGAAAGCTGAAGAGATAGGATCGAAAGAAGATGTGGGGCTTAGAGAAATGGAAAAGTCTTCTGTAGATTTAGAATTATCTTCAGAAGATTTAGTTGAGAAAGGGGTGGCAACGAAATTTTCTGTGTCGGATACTTTCCAAAGTTCTACAAGATCAGTTGTTTTAAAAGAATCAAATGAAAAAAGGGAAAGCGAAGATTCTGCAGTGCTTCATGCTGCTTCAAACGTTGCCAGGCAAAAAGACGATGAAAATATCATAATGGTCAGCAGTGAGGAAACGAGTGCAAGAGAAAATGTGAAAACAGTTAAGTACGATAGAGAGTCAAACATTGATCATATACCGTTGCAAAAAGAATTTGTCTTTTTGGAATCCGGCAATAATCGGCAGGTTTTAGGTAGCAGTGGGGACCTTATGACAAGTTCTGAAATAGTAATTGCACCATTAGAGCCTACTAAGTCTGTTAAGTTTGCAACGGAAAGTATCATTAAGACAACGGAAGTAATGAAATCCTCTTCTGGGATAAAAGATGCAGCTGTAACTAGGGAAAAGTCTGTTTCAGCTACGAAGCAACCGGAAGATACGACTATGATGTCAAGTAATACTGCTGTTAAGGAGACAGTACAAGGAAAAACAGTACAAGAAATCCCGATTTTTATTCCTGAAAGAAATATCACTAGAACTAAAGTTGTGACAGATGAAAATAAACCTGAAGTGATAACCGCTGTCTCGGCTGTTAAAGTTATTGACTACGAGGCTGATAATCTACCAGGGCACACTCAGCGCAAGACTGCATCCCTAAAGGGAGGCCAGATATCCAATGTTTATACCGACGAGGAAGTCTCCTTTGAAAAAGACCAAAACAAAAGGCGTGATAGTCATGTTTCAGATGATAAATTCCCGGGTGATCACCTGGAAATTGGAGAACTAATGACTCCTCCAAGCATCAAAGAGGAGGATGGTAAGTTTCATAACTATCTGTTATTCATCAGTGATTGTTCCTTCAATTTCTACGTGTTTTAGATAGAAAACTAAGAACAATTCTGTGGCATTGTGGGCAGAATAAAGTATGATGATCGCATTTTCTAGACATATCTGTCTCTGGAAATTCATTGTCTTACAGGCTCTGACTACACCACAGCACCACGATTGCATAACATTTACAATTTCAAATACCATTGATAAGTCGTGTTTGGATACGATAACATTGATGCGTTTTAATTTGTGCTTCCTAGTCATTATAACTGACCGAATTTGAAAAGCCAGTTAATGTTTTGTCAGCTGCAATAGGACAGAAGTTTCAATTATTACTTAGGCACGGGAAAAGTCTTCAGTTATTACTTGAATCGTTATACAGGCACCGCGCACCAGTCTTAAAGTGGGTGGGTGGGCTAAAAAGGGTGTGACCGAAAATTTTGTGAGGCCACACGCTTTTAAACGTTGGAAAACCTCTTTTAGAAAATACTTGCTTCTTTCCACTCATTTAGAGAAGATAATAATTACTATAAAACAGATTAACAAGATAAGATGCCAAGAAAATGAACAAAAAGAGGTTCCCAGCCAAGAAGAACTGCTACTTTTTAGGATCCGTTGAAGTAAACTTTTCCAAAGTTGCGTTGGAGTAAACTTCTAAAAAGTTTGGGTGTTAGAATAATCTAAAAATTCCAAAAACCTTTAGCCCCTGCTAGCCCAATGGCTGCGCAGTGCCTGGATTATTGTGCGGTTTACACTAAATATATTAACACAAGCAATGTTTTTATTGGAAGGTATTAACACCTAAAGTTCAAATAGATCGAGTGTCTGTTTTGTGAATAAATAAAAATTAATTATCTTTGTTAAGATTTGACTTTATAGCTCCTTTTTTATATTTTCTCCAATTTCATTTTGTTTGCTTCAGGACATGCCCTAGCTGTTCCTACCGATTTTGTCATTATGACCGCACTTGCAGCCCTGGTTTGCTACAAATTGATAAAAAGTTCGTTTGGAAGGTTGGTGTACTGTACTAGATATCTATTTTTATATTGACCTTTGACGTGAACCTTATCTTTGAACATCAACAAGTAGTGTTTTTACACAACATTTGCGATCTTGGAAAATAATTTCGAAAGAACGGAATAGGAAGATGAATTTCAAGAAAAACGAAACAAAACAACAGCTTTGCTTGATTTTTACTGTGTTAATTGCTTATGTAATATCTTGTCAGCTTAATGGTGTTTTACACCTCTGTATTAGCAGTTTTTATCCATATGATCGTTATAAATGCATGTTGTATTTATTTATTAGCATGACATCATCACGTCCAGGCAACGAAAATCACGATAGGGATGATCACCAACCATTTGATAACAATGATTTTGCAAGAGTGGAGGACCTACCAAGTAGCAAGTCTGACTGGACAACGCCCGCAACAGCCATTCCACAGGGCAAAATGCCAAAGCTAGAAACGATTTTGGTGACAGCTGATATATTTTTCAAGGGAGATGGTGAGATGGCTTATCAAATCAAGCGCAGTTGGCATGGCTAAGGACTAGACTAGACTCCTTCGTCTTATTCTTTTAGTTGGGTTTCTTCATTGGTATCTGAAGAGAATCAAGAGGAGCCTCGCTCTGATGTACTAAAGAGTGCTGCGCCCTGTTTTTGGGCTATCAACTGCAGGGAAGCCTTTGCCTAGACCTCCCTCCATGCTGTCATAGATCACCAAGCTTTGCTTCAAGAAATCTTCCCTTGCTTCTTGCAAGTTGCTGCTTCTAACACTGATTTGTAAGTTACATCTAAAGATTGACATTCCAGATAGGATGAATGTCAAGGGAAAATGGCTTACCTTGCTGCACTGGCATTTACCGAACCATTAGATTCCAGATCGCATCACGCCACTGTTGTAATTCTAAGAAGTTAATGCTTGTTGTTAGTGGTTGTACAACGATTGTGTTTGCATTTGAAAATTTGAAAACGTAGAATTTTTTTGAAAAATAATATCAGTGTTGAAGTACCGTATTGAAGCACCTTATGTGTGATAATTGTCAACAAACATTTAATTTTTGAAGCTAGTGCCTCTCTTCATTTTCTAGTTAGAAGTTTTTTTATTAGTTTTAGGTGTATTTATTTATATGAATCCTGTCACTTTGGCAAAGTTATCACGAAATTTACTGGATTTACTAGCAGGAAAACCCAGACTGTGTCAAAGACAACTATGGCGACATGTCTCGATTATTGACCGATCGTCTTTCCATCTAGCACCTACAAAAGAAGCGAAAAACCCACTATTGTGTAGACAGAAGAAGTTCGTTGTCACCTTAGGACTTAATTGGTAATATTTTCTGTGAGCAAGCGACACTGCTTTGGCAACCTCAACAATCATATGCTTACGTTTCTGATTGACATATTTCGATCCACAACTGGATTGACATATTTCGATCCACAACTGGGCATATATATATTTCCTAGCGTAGATTTTTCGATCCACGTTCTGACGTTCTTTACGCTGAAGAGTGTCAGATGGAAAGCATTTTTCAAAATGTTGCTTTTTCAAAGCTATATTTGACATTTAATATCAGAAACAGTTAGACAAATATATGCATAGAATAATACAGTTATCCTTCAATACCTCAAATTTATATTATGGTTTTCAATGCAGGGTTCTAAGTGGTCTTACATAAAGACCAAATATAATTTTTTTTCATATTTATAAAATGATTCATTCATGTTATGAAAAAGCCTTTCAAAATTCCAGCCATTTAATCACAATAGTGAAAACTGGGGTAATGTAACTGATTAAGATAGCTTATTTTATAGTTTTATTAGTACAACTAGAGTGGATTTTGTCATAATTTAACTAGAATCGTCACACGTTTCTTGCATCGGGGTTTGGCATTTTTTAATATAATATTTATTGAGTAATATACAAGTAATGAAATTAGTCTGTTGTATTGTTAGTTGTAAGTAGCAATGATGTTTTGAGTTTTCGTATCAACGAGTCATTTTGTAAGATCTTGTCGAGATATTTTATGTCCTGTGTGGAGATTTCAATACTTTTCTATGGGGCCCCTTTGAACAGTGCGATAGAAAGTGTTTCGGTATCTTTCGGTATAGTGTATTCGGTGATATGATCAAGTTCCATTGCTTTTCATTGCAAGTTGACGTAATTCTCTTCTTAGTTTCGGATACGAATGTTTGAAGGCTATTCGACCGCCTGCTATTCGAGTTTTAAATGGAATGAATTCAAATTGTTTCTACTCAGACAGTCACACAAGTATTGCATTAATTGAAACTGTCAATAAACAAAGCTCATTGATCAAATAGTTTTATTAACATCTTGTTATTAATGGCTGCTTGTTACAGAGTACCCTTTTTATGCACTGTTTGTCCGCGCTCACTGAAGCGTATACACAGCTACCCGTATTTTCTGAGGTAGGCCTAAGCAGGTTAAAAAGGACTAGGCCTTTGTCTAATGTTTAGAAAATCATGTAAAAGGTTCTGTTATATTTGGATACTTGCTTATAGCAAAATGTTTGTACATATATTTTTGATGTTGTTGATGGCTTTGTTTGGTGCGAATGCAGAGGGAAGCGAAGGGAATCCTCATTTTCAAGTAAGCTCTATTTATTTGTGTGTTTTCAGTAACTGAATTGTTTACCCCATAGTCAAACACTTGGTTAAGCTAGCTTGTTACAAAATCATTAAAAACTGCTTTTAAAGTTCCATAGTTTATAATTAATCTTTTTCTGATCTCCATCTTCCTTTCCGGGATTTGACACCAGACTGGACACCTGATGTGTATTACTTTGTTTAAAGATAACCTTTGCTTTGTTTGAAAACCGACCCTAAAATCAAATAAATTTTGCTTGCAAATGCGTTCAGGATCAAACAAACTTAGCTTATGATTTATTGTAACTTTAAAGATGCTTTCAAATCAAGAGGCTTTAAATTTAACCAATCTTCAAAAACGTGAAATGTATACAATCAGAGTGTGGGAAATTAAGAAAATATTAAATGCGATAAGGACTGCAGACATTGATTCGATACTAAAAATTGGCCTAAAGAAATACTTGCAAAATTTATCTTATGCTTTTTAATTAGGAGATAGTAAAAAGGCCTTGAATAAAGAAGGCTGTATCATTTGTTTTCGTTTCAAGTTTGTGTTTTGAATATAGCATTAAACTGGCGAGAAGATTTATGAATATCAATGATATTCTTCTGTAGTCGTATTCCCTTAAAGCTGTTGATTTTGTCTAGAAGCTGATAACTTTTAAATATCATATGATATTTTCATTTGACTCTTTGATAGTAAAATCACAATCGTATTTTAAATGCAATTGAAAAAATGACTGATGATTGAAAGAAGAGGGGATGAAAGGTTCACAAAAAAGGTCTAGAAAGGTCTTTGAAAATAATTTTTTTAAATTCATTATTTTTGAGAATATGTGTAGAATTGAAGTCTTTGAAGAGAAGAAAAAGATTCGAAACAAATTTAGAACAATTTTAAAGTTGTTGATAAGGCGTATTTTGATTAGGAGAATCAAAGTTCCTTTTTGGCATTGGTTACAGAATTAAAAAAATGGCTTAAGCAAGGTGTGTTCTTTGGCAAATACAGCGCAAAGGGACATGAAAATGTCCATAACGGCCAGAGGATTCAGACAGTTTTTCACAAGAGAGTTTCCACTTTAAAATCATATAAAATGTCGAGAAAAGGCAGTTTCCTGTTATCTATCTTCTTTCAAATCCTAAATATAGTAATGCCTTGCATTGACCAGGGTTGAGAACCAAATATTCTACATTTCTTATGTTTCTGTGCTCATAACTGGCATGATTGTCTGTACTTACTTTTGTACTTGACTATACTACCGGACTTTATTTACTGTAGTAACTATTTTTCATAACTAGATCGATCACAAATCAGGCAAACTCGACATCATGGCCACACGGACAAGCGCAGATATCCAGTCCACGGAAGATTACGTCGACCTGGTGATGAAACCGGGTGAAGGCATTTCTTCTGTGTCCCATCAAGAAGCTTCGCAACGGCACCAGACTCCGGAACAGTTTATGTTCCGGAACAAAAAGAAAACCGGATGGAGGGACGGCATTTCACAAAATGATGAGGCAGAAGTTAGAAGCAATGAAAAACTATTGAATTTCGATAACAAATGGCAGAATTTGTTTAAATTCCCGAAAGGAAATAAAACAGTTGATTCAAGTGTACCTCGCAACTTGACTTTGAAAAACGAGACAGGACTTTCTAAAGAAATAGCAAGTAATAAAATGCTCGAGGTAGAGAGTAATGCAAAAAGCCTTGCAAAAATGATTGAAGATGGTTCTTCACGCAATGCGATAGATCCAGCAAAGATCAAAGAAGCGGCAAAGAATTTGGAAGATCAAGTTGAGACTTTGCAAGATGAGGTGCTACAAACATTTGCAAACGAAAGTGTGGCTATTGAAAAAGAAAAGGAAGAAGGAAAAGACAAATCAAGTTTGCAGAAAGATAAAAAAGAAAAGGACGAGAAGAAGTTTAGCAAAGAAAAGAACAAAAATTGTACAGATTGTGGGACTAAGGTTCCAAAACCAGGGGATCCAGCAGATAACTCAACATTGGTGCCAAAGTTGAAAAAAGGCGGGGATAATAATGGAACAAGTAGTGCTTTTGACGCTAATAATACAGTGAAGGATGATCCCTCTGAGAAGAAGGTTGAAAATGAAAAGGCAAAGAATGTGGAAAATGGTCAAAAGGAAACTAAGAAAAAGGTTGATGAAGACAAGGAAGATAAGGATCAAAGGGACAATGGAGAGAAAAAGACAAAGGGGGAGGCAGAAAGTAACAGCGATAGCAAGAAAAATCCGAAAAAGGGTACAAAAACAGCAGCATTGGATAAAGGAAAACATTGCAAAGATTGCGGGACAAAAATACCAAAAGTTGGTAACAAAACAGATGATGGCAAGCTTGCAGTTCCAAAACTGACTGGAGATAATGACACGACCGTTGCAAACGGGTTCAAGCAAGGACAGGCAGCATTAGAGAAGCAAAAGGAAGTTAAAACAAATGATAAAGGGGCAGGAAAATCTGCTAGTGATAATAAAGAAGCTACAATGAAGGCCGAAAAGAAGCCTTGCAAAAATTGCGGAGGAAAGATTGCCAAACCTGGTAACAAAACAGATGATGGTAAATTGATTGTGCCAAAACTGTCAAAAACGAACACAAACAGTAGCCAAAATGCATACCAGAACGCGTTGGCAAATGAAAAACTCATTCTGCAGAATGTGCAAGTAGACAAAGAAGAATCTTTCGATTTGGATGATGATGCACAAGAGATAACTGAAGGTAAGCAGCTAATTTCTGAAGCTAGATTTGTGCGTTAATTTATGAATTAGCAAAGATTGACTGAAGAATCCGGACAAAACATCGAAAACTCGTGGCCTGGGGCAGGTCATAGATTTGCATATTAGATGATTTCCGTTTTTTAAACAGTTGGAAATGAAACAAAATATAGATAAGAGAAATAATTGGCTGAGATTTTAGGAAGAAGAGAGGACAGAGGGCAAGATTGGCCAACACGAAATGATGAGCGGTGTAACTATTTCAGCCCTGTTTATTCTGCCTCGTTCTAGAACTCTAGGCCTTGTCTTGTAAACATGCGTATGCTAAGTGTTTATTCTATTTTTTTTAAATTGCTGTCAGAGAAATATATCGAGCTGATTAAGGAATAGTGCGCTGAAAGGAAAAAAAACGTTCTACGAGAGAATCTTAAAAAACATCGACTTTATTAAATACATAGGAGGCCTTTGTGTTATGATAGCATGAGCGCAGCAGAATATATTAGATGCAAAAAAATATTTCCGTAAAGTAATTTTTAAATTAAAGCGATTTTGGTGTCCTCACTGAAGACTGTTTGATGTGGTTTGCAGCAGCGGTATTTGTATTAAGGCCTTAAAAGCTGAAAGTAACGTGTTCTTGTAAATTATAATATTGAAAAAGTACGGCATATATAAACATGGCCTGGCTAACGAGAACAAATGTTAGCTACGAGGGATTCGGAAGAGGCGTGGTCGTTTGATCTGATAGTTGTATTATGCAAGTGTAATGCTTTTCTATTGAATGGTGACAATCAAATATTGGTGTAGGATTAGCCTAGCCTTTGATTACGTGAATCTAGGTGCCACGAAGGCGTAAATGCTAAACATCAAAATTAAAATCCTCTGCAGTTTTGGGCAACTTGGGCAATCACTTCCTTCCATTATGTTATCTCGTACCGTTTTTTTATCAAAATAAAGTCCGCTTTATTTTCATTTGAAATAGTTGACAGATTAAATCAATTTTGGTTTTTTGCAAGGATTATGCTTGGTGGGTTCAGGACTGCCATCGCGGTGCAGTTCAGATTTTTAAAGATTATTGTTTTACGTCGTTCGCTGCCCAGTAGCTTTAAAATTCATTTCCGATGTCTAACCTTAATTATTGATAATACAGTAATAACGGTTATAAACACATTCTCTGTTTTGATTATGCAACATTTTTTAAGCCTTTTAGCTCTAAAGATCAAATGGCCTTAGGCCTATATCCCGATTAAAACTTGAGCTTGTGTTAACCCTTGTGGTTACAGAAGTTATAAGCATCAGAACCCGAAATAAGAGAGCTTAGATTAAAACTCACCACAAAAAATTCCTGGAGAGCAACAAATTGACTTCCTTTTTAATTGCTTCTCGAGTTTTGCCACAAAAAAGTTTTCAGCACGTGACTGCAAAAGAGAAGCTGTGGTTTCGCTGACGAATACACGTGTGCTTTTGGCGGGAAGTGGTTCCAGACTCCTTGCATCCGGGCCTATAGATCTTTTTTATTAGTTTTAACATTGTTGGGTTTTTTGGGTGCTAAATGTCTGAGTGCTAAATTATTGGAGTGGATGGGGGGCTAAATAGAGAGGGGCTTCTTTTCTCCTACTTCAAAAATTGGGGTATATTGAGAAGAGGTCTTAAAAAAGAAAGGGGATTGCAGAAAGAGGGTAGAATATCCCTACTTAACCCCAAGCTGTTATGTTGACGCAGCCAAATTAACGGTTTAAGTTTAAAATACCTGGCATGTCTTTCACAGCCTTATACTACCGTAAAAGCTCTATTAAGTCCCCCCTCATCAAGCAAAATCTTTAATTAAGCCCTCTTTTGTATTAAGCTCCCCTCTTTAGCCTTTGATGTCAAACATAGAAATCATGCACATTTAGTGGGTCTCTTGACGGGTGTGATGATGATAAACGATCGTGTGCATTAAATACGGCCTATGTAAGGACTAACTTGTGCGACTTAGTAGTCAGTCGAAATTTGTTTTGAAGATGTACAAGGGTTATCAATTTATCCTGGTGATGTTGATGAAGATAAGGACCTTATAATTGAATGATTAGACTTTCAAAACTGCTGGCAAAGTATATTGAGAACATTTGTATGACATTTTCATAAGAAGAAATGGCCAAGTGTATTTCTAAAACTTTTTTGCTTCAAATTTTTGATAAGCCCCCTCTCTCTAATAAACCCTTCTCTCTTTTAAGTCCCCCTCTAAGACTGAAAAATAAATAAGCCCCCTGGGGGCTTAGTAGAGTATTTACGGTATTTTAACTGCTTTCGGTGATCTTTTCATCATTACTTTAGATGCCGACTACGCAGAGTTATCAAGTAGCAAATACGCTGGCAGCAAAAACAAAACATCAGAATCACAGATTCGTGAAGGGGAGGCATCACAAAAAACCGTAGGGCAGAGTACGGGAAATGGCGATAGTGGAAGCTCGGCGGAACGAGAAGAACAGCGAAATAAAGAATTAGCTGATTCTGAAAAAGAGAGTCGGCAGAACCAGGAAGAAAATAAATCAATGGAGGGCCTAAATAATACAAAATCTGGAGCGACACAAGTTGGGAATGAAAAAGAGCAAAATGGTAACAAAACAAACAAAGAGGTCAGACTGAATGGGGATAAACAAGATGAGAAAAAACCAGATGCTTCTTCAAAAGTCGACGATAAGAGTGATACGAAGAAAGAAGATTCGAATGATCAAGCTGGAGATAATTCTTCTGAAATGAAAACCAGCGAACAAGCAGACGAGGCTAAAGGCCGCAATAAGGAGGTGAATGGTTCCAAGGTTTCAGACAAAGAATCTGTTGGGAATAAAAATATGACAGAAGAGGCAAAGTTGAAAAAGGAAACAGATCTTAAAGATTATTCTGTTGACAGAGTAAAAAATCAGAACATGAAAACAGTGAAGCAATTCAGTGACCTTTTGAAAATTGTTCTGAAAAATACAACGACAGAGCAGAAAGAGGAACTTCTTAAGCTGACATGGCATGATTTAAGAGCAAGACATACTAAAGAAAAAATGAACGAACAAAAAGATAAGGTAAAGAGTAACAGTGCTGGAGACGGCAATTTTAGCAATAGCAGTGGATTAAGACACAAGCCTGGAGGGAGTGTAAAACCTGAAGTGAAGTCTCCAACAGAAGAAAGCACTCCTTCAAAGAGTGGAGATAATGGAGGCTACAAAACAATTGTTGGGAGAATTAAAGAGAAAATTTCGCTACTGAAAGACCTTATCGAGTTAAATAAAAGAAGAGAGGCGAAAAAGAATTCGACAGCATATGACCCCTATCAGGGTTTTAAACGAGCCAAGGTCAGAGATAATCGATAGAAAAGATCATCTGGCAAAAAGGAAACCATTGCAGAAATATAAGTTCCTAAAAGTCATTTAGCATATGCTGAAATACCCCAATGTTCTCGTATATCTGAAAAACACACGCGCATCACACAGAGAGGGTATACTAGGGACTAAAGATATGGCGAGGATGTGCCATAATAGGAAAACATAGTGTTTCTATCTGAAATATGAGACCCATAACTCCGTGCTGTAGTATGCCTAAGTAAGAAGCAGATTATTTTTGTAGTGGCTGTACTGCACATCATATATCATATGAAGATACACCCTATACTGCACAAAACAGTTCAGATTTATCATTAGTAATATTTGTAAGTATTATGTATAGTGAAATCTTTTGTGAAAATGTGTTCCTCAATTCAATGTTTTATAACATTAAATACGCCTATAACATTTACTGGATAAAAAGTGCAAAAGGATTTTGTTTCCCCAGCCTTGATCATTGGGCCTTAGTTAAACGTTGCTCACACTAAGCCATCTCTTTCCCCTTAAATTTTAAATGGTACACCCTTTTAAAACCACGATAATCCTGGTCTCGAAGATGCAACGCAAGCACAGTTGGTTGTCATTTAACATGGTCTGCCATTTGTTTTGGTCAGTCTGTTAGTTTATTATAACACGGGTTGCAAGCTTCATTTTTACACAAGCTGTTCTGTACCTCAAGTTAATGCAGACTTGAACCGATAGATGAAATGTTAAGCTTACAGGTAACCAGCCTTTCTTTAATCTGCTCTCACCGATAATCAAAGAAGGCAAATACTCTGAGCAAAAGTATAGCAGCTCTTACAAAAGCTCACTGTAAGACTCAGTTTGAGAAATGAAAACGTTGTTTCATATAATAATAATCTACGAAAATTTAGAAGTTAAATCTATTGATAATTGGCATAGTTAGTAAGTAAATTAAACGGTAAATAGATCGAAATCAAACCACTTATCAAACGTTACGACTGCTTGCTGTTTGTAAGTAAAATAATCTTCAAACGAGTTCTTTCGTGGGATGCGTTTTATCAAACATACCGTGTGATCGAGAGTAAAAATTTGCTTGGTAAATTGTCCGTTTCAAGTAAATTAGAAAACCAGAGGGTGGTCGTGTTACTTGTGGCTACACTAGTCAATTCTGGGGATCTTGAAAGTTAATTCTAAGACTGGCTTTGCTTTTGAAAACGGGAACTTTTATATGTACTTTTTATTCCAAGGAAAGAGGGGTTTTTTCTGGCAAGAAGGAGGTAGCACTTTCAGTATACTGCTTCAGTTATGGTAAACGCCTTCCTTGACATGTAAAATCGAAAAATAATTTTTTGCATTTTAAAGTACAGCTGCTACCTTTAAAGATGATATTTCATTATAGGTTGGTAAAGTACACCAAACTGCCTTGTTTTTAGTTTTCCACTAACAAATGGTGGTCGTCTTGGTTCTTAATCTTAATATAGTTTGATATCAACCAGAAACGAGACAATTTGCCAAGCTTATGGCTGCAACTACAACAACAATGAGCATAGCAAATCACATCCTACCATGGGCGACAACTACGTTGATTTCACTGTATGTCATGATGCCAGGACCTTGGTACTAATCACGTGCCCTTTGACGTCAATATTTCAGGAATTGTAGTGGAAAATACAGCGTGTTTAAGTGATTTAGTTGCATGGACTGTGGAGTTTTCATGTATTTTTCATCACAACAAAGCAGAAAGTCCGAAATATACAATGTCATGTTTTATTGAAAGTTGGGCGATTGGCAACACAGATGACACAAGGCTCTGGCAAAATATCACGGTGCAGAGTTCCTACGATTGCAAATTTTTCATAATCCATGGCCCCTGTCGATAGAAAATTCTACGATTTGTCTCCTTGCATTATGAATTAAAACGCTCAAAATACAACTGAAAGCAAACTTTTGCAAAATTATGCTCACTTCATCGTATGATAGAACTTCAAATGCTAAGGATCTTGCTCGTAGACGTTTTCTATGTAAACAAGTGCCCTATCACGACTTAGATTACAGTTCAACAAACTGTGTATAAGCTTTGTTAAGGAATAAGTTAAAAGTCATTCATAACACTTTCCCCGCACCATCTCCAATTAATCCGTTCACCACTTTATGGTACACAATAAATAATTCAATATTAATATACTCACAGGGGTTAACAAACTCTCGATACTGCCCCATTGCTATGTTTTCTGAGCCGTCTTTATGGGGTCTCAATAAAACTTTTACGATCATCTTCTACGTTGTTGAAGGCCAATGAAAAATCCTGAAGCCTAAGCTTCCGGCTGGCTAAAAAGACATTTTGAATAAGACTAGGTTTTTTGAGGGCTTGTGGCCATTTTTAGATAGGCCACTGCTCTTTGGAATAAAGGTTAATAGATTGTTATATAAGTGGGTAAAATCAAAAGATTACAATGGCCATTTTTTTTGGGGGGGGGGGGGTTATTTGAACCCATAGTAAGGAAGCAGCCTCGAGATTTCATTGCTGTATAGTTGCAAGATATGATTTAGAGTGGTGAATCATTTAATAATAATGTGGAGCTCACCGATATATCATGATTAATCAATAAACGATCGCCTAATCATCATGAATCATAAATGTTAAATTAGGCGATAATTGAAAGAAAATCAAAAATAAGGACAAAACAAAAGCCATTGCAATCTATGCGAGTGTATCTCTGAGCGGTAAGATCTAAAAGCAGTGTGATAGTGAGGGGTTAGTGATGCGCAAGGCCGCCTACAGTCTCGGTCATCTTTTTGTTTGAAGTGGTTCATGAAGGTGTGAGTTATCAATTATAAATGCATTAGAGTTAGGTTGAACTTTAAGAAGTAAAAAGTGGGAATCTTTACGTAGTTTGAAACTGTTTTCAACTGCTGAAGAACTATGTAAAGCCGTTGTTCGTTAGGCAGATTGCAGGAGTAACAGGAAAGCTGAAGAAATCATCAACACAACCGACTGTCTAAGCCCTTCTTTGTTTTTTAATCTTAATACTGTATTCTTTTGTCTGGTTTTCGCAAAACACTAATTTAATAGCCTTTCTTGGACTGGCTTCATGTTCAATGTCTGGTAATAACTATCGTCTAAAGATGTGGTTACCAATGGGCTTGACTGCAAAATATAAAATTTCATAGCCATTCAATTCGCGATTCGCGGGAATTGCAATATAAGATGAGGTGGTTTTCATGTATCCAAAAGATTTCCTTAAAGCGTGAAGTCCACTTCAAGCAGTCTTAACTAATGCAAAATTGTTTTCATATTTATTAATGGCAAGGTGAGGGGGGGGGGGATTTTCAGTATCAACCAAAGGTATGGGGCTATGGGGTGGACGTGCCAAGAGGGGTAGTGCCATGTGTAGTACAGCTATGGAGTGTAGTGCCTGGGGGTGTATGATGAGCCCTCTTGCTTATGTCGAAAGCAGGCTTTTTCCAATTCTGACATAACTTAATTATTTTTGTGGGAAGATCCCTTCTTCCTTACATAACAGTGCACTCCTTAAACCAAGAGATCGATGACTAAGACTGGCAGAGATATTGTTTCAAGGCCCGAAAGGCAAGAGAAATTGAGAAAGGCATGCCTAAAAATAGGGTCTACTATTAAGAGAAAGTAGAGAATGTTAATAAAGTATCAACGGATCACCAAAGTAATGATTGCAATGGCTTTAAACTACGGCATTTGATGCCACTACGAGAGCAAATGGTTTGTACACAACGTATCTGATTGTTAGGGTTATACGAGGGAAATTATTGTGTATACATTGTAAAATTAAAAAATATTTACCATGATCTTATCAAAATAGGTTTGGACATGTCTTTGTTGCAAAAGGTTATTTAATTTGTTAGTACAAATTGAACGAGCAACATGGAGACTAACCTTGACAAAAATATTTTAACAGAGCTGACTTCATTTTTGCAATAAAATCACATCAAGATTACATAGGCCCAATAAAATTGGTGGTTACGCACCTTAAAGAATATGCTCGTTTGTTTGCAACGAAGAAGCTTTTGAGTTTTGAAGGAAAGACCAAATTGGTTTATGGGTGTTTTTTCCTTACATTATGAAGACACATATTAGACTGTTCGCCACTATTTCCTGAGAAAGAACTTTGGTCCCATTAATAGAATTTGTCGAGCTTGCATTTAACTTTGTTGAATCTTAGGGTAACTTAACCAAATGGGCTTTCAAGAAATCTTGATGATGCAGAATGAAGTCAGCTATGATATGATCACGTTATATGATAGGTTAATACTCCATGAATTTAGAAGCTCGTACGTTAAGGTCCTTGCGAACAAAAACATCCTTACAAATACCTTTCCATTGGTCAAGGGCCACCACCAAAGAAGCATTGCACATATTAAGTGGGATTGCATTGATAAAAGCGTCATAATGACGTCATTAACTTCAAAGAAAGTACTAGAATCAAGCACAGATAGCGAAAGGTATTTAGAAAGGAGCTTTTGCTTCTTACCATACGAAATGTCTCCAAGAAAAACGCCTTCTCATAACAAAAAGTAAACAGTAAAACTAATGATGCTACTGAGGATGATTTAAGGCTGCCAATCAATACCACGAAGACAGTCTCCATGGCAACTGACAACGCAATCCAAGACACAAAAACTAAAATACCAGGTTAACTAAATTTATCGTTTATCGTTTAAACCTACAAAAACTTCACGCTTGCAAGAAAATGTTTTTGAGTTACCAAAATTTGAAAATTTGGTGGAGTCAGCATCCTCGTGAAAAACTTCAGTAAAATGAGCAGTTTGAGAAGGCCTCTGGAGATTTGACACAAAGGAACAAAAGGAAGGCCTAGAAAAAGAAATCAAATGATCTTGTCCCGAAAAAACAACTCTGCTGAACTGTACTGTACTGTACTGTACTGTACTGTACTGTACTGTACTGTACTGTACTGTACTGTACTGTACTGTACTGTACTGTACTGTACTGTACTGTACTGTACTGTACTGTACTGTACTGTACTGTAATGTACTGTACTGTACTGTACTGTACTGTACTGTACTGTACTGTACTGTACTGTACTGTACTGTACTGTACTGTACTGTACTGTACTGTACTGTACTGTACTGTACTGTACTGTACTGTATTGTACTGTACTGTACTGTACTGTACTGTACTGTACTTTACTGAACTGTACTTTACTGAACTGTACTGTACTGTAATGTTCTGTATTGTACTGTACTGAACTGTACTGTAATGTACAGTACTGTTTTGTACTGTTATGTACTTTATTGTTTCCAAGTGTATTTTATATTGTTTCCAATTGACTGGTATAAAAATCACATCAATAGTTATCTGCACTATTATTCCTTGTTCGACTAGAAGATAGAAATTTAGTGTCAAATATGTATCAACAGCTCTTGACTGTACACGCCATAACGATCTTTAACAAACAGCAGAAAGGAGGGCAGGTTTCTTTTTATGTCAAATGTACGGAATAAATCCTCAGAAGGAACCTGGAGCATCTATTCCAAGCAGGACGGAATCAAATTGGGGGTACTTAATGGAAGGGCTGCTTACCTGTGGAGGATGCTCATTATAGCAGGGATTTTTATTCAAAGGGGTCCCTATTCAAGGTGGATCCCTTCTTGAGAGGGTGCGCAATCTAGATTTAAGGGAAAAAACTCTCTAAGAATTATATGGAAACTGTAGCCCATATATAATGGTTTGGCTGATAAGAGAATAATTTATTCCTTACCAGCCTCAGGGATCTGCCTTCAAATAAGTCCCTTAGTCCCATTTTCTCACTGGTGTCTGTTTTGAATTTGTAAAGATTAGCAAAACATGACAGTAGAGAAACCATTATCAATTTGCAGAGAAAGCCAAAAAGCCCTTTGAAGAAATTGACAACAACTGTACTTACCGAGGTGTTTAGTTGGTTCTATTGTCTCAGCGATGTCTGCAAAGGCGATGAGAAAGCGAATCAGATTACTGTGGTTTCGTATCGACAAAAAAGGAAGGCTGGCTTTTCAATTACATTGGCAAGCAGAAAAGGGATAAGCCAAATCTGGTTTTTCGTTTTCTTATCTACACAGAAAATAGCGAACATAAAGAATCGAAACATTTGTTGTGCATCGAAGAAGACCACACCGTACATGTTTGGCAGAAAAATTTTGCTACCATAGCCTTAGGCATGGATGTGCCAGGACGGTCAACATAATCCGATAAATCCTGTGAAAATCATATGGGGGTGTTTACATCAACAATAAAACTTTTCTGGAGCTCTGCTCATATACACAATCATAATAATAATTATGATCACTACAATCATCGCCGCAATTGCTATCACCAAGATCAAAATAATCATTATTGTGATGCCAAATCAACCTAAGCCCTGTCCAAACTACATAAACTAATCCAGGTTCGCCCCGGGATAGACTTAACCTAGGACGAGCCCTGTTTTGCCCATACTTGATTTTCATGTTTTGTAATGTGGACACAAAGTCGGGGCGAACCTAGGTTAGCTAATGCTACGCATGCGTAGTTAACTTACAACAACAAAACAACGACAAAACAACGACATCAAGACAAATATTCCACAAACACAATCATGATGCAATGCAGTTTATTCAAAAGAAATATCATATGGCACTGCAGTCAAGATTAAACAGAATATTGGCTGCATCTCGCAAATGGATTCGACAGTATAAGAGATTCAGATTACAGAGGAGGAAGAAATTTGAAACATGTCTTAAAGAAAGTATCACTTTAGCGTGCTTTCAACCAGTAGACATGGAAAGAAAATACTTGTGTAAAACCCGAAGTAAAAACTGGTGGGACTCAATTGTTCTGCAACAGTTTGAGGCATATGATTTGCATGCGTTACAAAAACTAACCCAGGTTCGCCCCAGGTTTGTGTCCACTCAGTGGCGAAGCTGGACTCTAACTGATGGTCGTGCCCATTGTCCAATGCGCAGTAAAAATGCGCCTCCGCAGTAGCATACATAATTATATCTCAGTGATTTCAAAAGCATATACAGTAGTGATTTATAAACAAACAAGACATGTACAACAAATTCCTTTTTCTCAAGCAGCATCATCATACACAGACCAGATGATTTAACTCAAAAATGGAATAAAGAATAGCCATGACCTATTGAGAGTTATGACTTATTGAGAGTTATGAGAATTTGACCGTTGCAGATTTGCAAAAGAAAAAAGGTGCACAAGTTTAATAACATTGACAACTATAAACAGAGTTATTTTTCTGAACAGCAGCATAAGCGAAATACTAAATCGATATGATAGGTTTTCTACATCATGGATGCAGGGGTGACAATAGCCTGAAGTGAAAAACAGTGAAAAGTTGTGGAACACCTTGTCAGAGACATTAAGACAAATGCATGTGTTCTATTCTGTGGGCCGTCTACTTTCGTCATAACAATTTGAATTTGTATCAAAAGAGCTATTTTTCCTGAACATAGATTGATGCAAATAGTCTGGAATGAAAAACAGTGAACAGTTCTTGAACACCTTGTAAAAGGCATTAAGATAAATGCACGTTTTTCTGTTGTGTGAAATTTGCCCCCTTATCTATTTTCAGACTGGGGTACTTTGCACTATACCTTTAATGACGGTAATATCGTATCTCAGTCTCACTTTGGTAGAATAGCATGAAACTTTGCAATAAGGGGCAGTTTGATACACTAGAAAAGATAGGACAAGGCTAGCAAAAGTAGGGGGCCAAGACTTCTTTCTATTTTACTGCAGCTTTAAAACTACTTGCATCGCAAAAAAAATTTGGGACCCTGGCCACCCCGCCCCCCCCCCCGGTGGCGTGGGCCCTGTCATTGTTTCTTCCTTATCAATTGCAGACTCATCCGCGCAATATATTGTAGTGACCATTCTTAGGCCATTCTTCATTCACTTCCCACTTATTCATCGAGCATGCCATCGGCATGACATCCACCAACGTTATTAACGGCATCACATACCATAGGACATTCCCTTCACCACTGTTTTTACAGCTTCACTCATCTAAATCAAGCTGACTCAACATCTCCCGTTCTATGTTGCCTAGATCTTTCTTTATCACATTGCATCATCCTTTCGTCCACCTAACTCATCTTTAATCAGCATTTAAATTTCTATATATAAGCATGTTAATTTTTAAGTAATTTTAGTTGAGTTCAGATCAGAATCCTACAGATAACAGATAACTCTCTATCTGGCTCCGTATTCTCCACACGTTAAATAGCATTCGCTTGGTTTGGAAAAGGCCGGAAAAGACACGTTTGTCGATGGATGGTTTATTTACTGTCAATTCCTACATCGATCGTTGTTCCGATGTACACTACTATATTTAAAAATTAATAGACAAAACCAACTTTAATACGAGCGCACTAAACTAACACCTATTCTGTACAACCGCAGTTTCCTGATTGCTGTCGACCCGACTCATCACTGTGACGTCACGAACTTGTTTTCGCAAGTACTACCTAATTTCAAACTCTTGTTAAACCCACTTTAACCGATAGAAAATGCGTCAAAAAGATCAATTTAATTCCGTAATTGAAGTAACTCTAAATGTAACTCTGCGCTTCCTCCACAGTAGAAATGCAGTTTCCTTATAAAATACAACTGCTTTATAAAATGAAATTGGACTGGATCATTCACAAACAACGCTCGAATAACTCAGATAACAAACAAACATCCACAAACGTCCTCAGGAACTAACAAATAGGCCTTCTTATGATACAGGGTGCAGCTAGTCTTGCCTTCAGAAACGGGCACGACTTCGTCATTGTACTCCACCAGTTTTCAGCCAATCACATGCTGTTTCTCGTAACTGTAATATTCTGATTATGATGACCAGGTCGTGTCCATTTCTGAGGGCACGACTAGCATTGTTTTTCTTTATTGCTGGGCACAACCAAACACAGGCTGTCCAATCAAAGCTTCTATTGTTGGGCACGACCAAATCACAAGGTACCAGATTTTAGGCACGACCTCTACTCCGCTCTAGAAACTTTTGCAAGGGTCCAGAGTTGCATATTCGGGTAGAATTCATTCATGTTTGCAAAATAAAGGTCTAACCCACCTCTGGATATTGATCGAACTAACCCAGGGCAAACCCAGGTTAGTTGTGTCCACACTGCAATATCTAACCTGGGTTAGCGAGAGCCTGGGGCGAACCAGGGTTAGTTTGAGTAGTGTGGACAGGGCTCTACATGCATCAAACTAGTAGTGAGCAAATTGAATTGTAAATTAGGAGAAAGAGTAGAACAGGACTGCAAGTTAAAAGGCTGACTCCTAGAGGTTCGGTTATGATGGAACCCAGATCTGTGTGTAAGTTCCATCGCACGAGGAAAACACATGGGGTTCAGCCTTTAATGTCATCGCCTGAATGAGCACGTGCAGTAAAAGAGATCAAATGGCAGTCCATTCATCAATTCCCTTCATTCAGATTTTACTCGATCTGTTATGGAAGTAAGAGTACTATTAGCTAGTCAATGAGTTTTTCATTGACAGGAATCATCTCACGATAGCGTGGCGTGCTTTTGTTTCAAAGCACGTGCATGCGAGAATTCTACAAAGATCTGTTCATATTTTGATTGCAATAGCAAACTCCTATGTGGGTTTTAGATGAGAGAAACCAGAGCTTGACCCAAGAAGGAATGTATCTTTTGTTTGAAAGGCTTACATACTCAGACAAAGCATTGATTTCGAGGATAATACCATGAAGAGAGGATTAATTTTGCGTGAAAGGGGCAACCATTCACGAGGTAAAGTATTAATCCTATGTAAAACCAAAGCTGACTAGATTTGTATTTCTTGGTTTTGGTTAAGTGATCGACCCAGAAAATTGTTTTCTAGCCCTCATACATGCCTCTAAAAATGCAGACAAAGGATTCATTTACAAGAAATAGAAAACAAATGGATGATAATAGGAGATAATTGAACGTGGTCTAGCTCAAAGAAAATTAATTTTCGATACTTCCTTGAAATATTTCGATGGGACTTATTTGTTGTAAAGAGATTTTTTGGCTGGCCAGCAGAGTAGTAGCTTTACTCGCTACAAGCACAAAAATACAAAAATAAAGGAACAGAACAAGAATTACATGTAAGAGTATAGGAATGTCGGAATTAAATTCAGTAAGCTTTGAAAATCAGTGTAAAATTAGAATAGCACAAGGTGCCCAGTTTGGAATAGACAGTTTGGAAGACAAAGGTAGCATTGCTATTTGAAGCAATTGAAGAAAAAGGATAACTTGTCACTTCACGGTCATTTGCTATTCTGTGAATACTATGAGGATATTATTGAACAGTTGTAAAAAGGAGCATGTGATTTTGGTGCACCTCCAAAAGATGGATATAGCCGCGTTATAGAAAGGTGTAGGAGTCTTCTTCTTGAAAAAGACTTAAATGACCAAAGGAAAACAGTGCGGCATTACGCGCTACAAGTAGCATTTTCTTAGAAGTCTGGCCTCAAAAGCTACTTAAAACTATTTCATAACCCTACAATCCCGGACAAAATTGTTGAGACAATTTCTGCAATTTTTTACTTTATGTTGCCCCTATAAATTCGAATCCCCCCTTTTCCCCCCAAATCAATGTTGGATTTGTAGTTCTCTCATTTTTGCTTCAAAATCATGTATTCAACATTGAATTGGGGGAAGGGGGAATGCCATTTTTCAAAGGAAAGAAATCAAAGTTTTCTTGAAATGTCAATTTTTGTCCACGATTGTAGCTAGAAAAACATTTAATATTGAAACGTCAAAAGGCGAAGATACAAAAATTGGAGAATGGGGAGCCCCAGTTGATTCCTTTGGGTAGAAAGCAGCTGAAACCCATGATGCTTATAAAAGAGGCCCGAACACAAAGTTTAAAGATGAAAAAACCTACCATTCCATTTCCGAATCCTACGCTGTTGCTGTATACCGCAAAGTCATGAGGAGCAGCAGCACCAGTTCTCGTTGCTGAAATATATTCAACTGGACCAGGAGAGTTGATAGGGTTCATGCCCCCATGACTGAGGGGTGAAGGATTGGGAGCCAGGTTTCCTTGTCCATGTTGATGGTACTGATTCATTTGTACTAAATAAAAGAAACATTAGAAAGATTGTATACAATTGATGTGTATATTCATTTAACAAGAAACCTTTGAAAGTGAGCTTTATTATGTTAATTCTTATAGCATTATCAGTAGAAGCATCATGAATCTATAGCAAACTTTCACTTTGCAAATTAGCAGCGTTAAAAGTCTTCGGTATATAGGCTTGTACATTAAGAGCAGAAATGGCAACTCTTCAATGGAACGAGGTACCTATGCAATATCAACTAAGTCTGAGCTAAAACTGAAGAGACACGAAGTTATACAAGACAGTGCTTCCATGACATGAAAAAAGTAGATTTTTATTTCACTGTACATGGTGTGCGTGAAAGATCTAAAAGTTTTAACTGAGGCAAAGTATCCATATTTAGAGAACGGCTGGGTCATCGATAACGGTTTCAACCCTATATGACAGCAAAGGACTTTGAGTATCGTTTAAATCTAAAATTCAAATACCTCCATAGTCATATTCTTGCATATTTGAAATCGATGATGAAGTGACACTGTTGTTCTGAGGATTCTGGTCAGAACGAGCTCTGACGTCAGGGTTCCTTATACTCCCAAAGCTGCTGCGGTAGTACCCATGTTGAGGTGAGGTTTCTGTGCGTCTTTCTGTCATGTTCATAAATCCACCGCTGCCAGGAGGAAAGCTATGAAAACCTGAAAAAATCAGAGAAAAAAGCAATTAGAAGCTGTAGTACGCTGAAATGGATATTTGAGAAAAATTTGTTATTTTGATTGAGATAGAACATGTTACGTACGTAGTCGATAACCAAACAGCTTTGGGCGTCATCAAAGCTGTTCTAAATCAACAGTTATTGAAACATAGCGGGCTATACCTGGGCTGATGTTGTAAACCATTGATTACTTGAACTTGACATAATACACAGCATCAAACTGCTACTTTAAAAGGGTGATTAACATCAAACGTTTTGCAAATCAAAAGCAAATGCAGCCATTTTTAATTGCTTGTGTAAACAGAAGAGAAGAGCAGACAAAGAGGCAATTTTAAGGTTGATAGCTGCCCGAAAGTTCTGTGAAAATGAGCGAAAAATAGAATCACGCCCTAATTTTATAACTATCAAGCAAGACATTCAAACTATATCTTATCAAAGCTCTGGGGGAAAAACGAAAAAAAATTCTTTGAAAATGCATTTCAAAAATTTTAGGACACGTCGACCCAAAAATTTTGATTGGACAGCCTGTGTTTGGCTTCCATAAAGACGAATTGGAATTTATTTGATAAAGAGTTTGGCAAAATGAGATGTGGTGCTCAGATCAATCTCCAAAGTCCTATGTCGTCGGCTAACACAGCTGAAGGAATGTTTGGAAGCATAGAGGCTTAAATAAAGTTTCCACGATGTTTGGTCACTTCCCCAATGTCAAGCTGCTCACGACATCACTAGAAATATGGCAATATTAAAACCTATGTATATAGTCACTCATGTCAAAAGAATCACTCGCCTTGCCCTAGCTGTTTGATGATTATGGTATTGGACATAGTTGTCACATAGGGTGCTATTTGAGAAAAGACTTTATGATGTAACTCTTTATTCTTAATGCATGCATGAGAGACTTTCCATTTTTCATTCTCTACGCATGCATGCGAGACATTCTTTATGCAGCCGTTATTTTTTGACCTTCCATTGTTGATATAGGACAGTTTGTTCAAGAGGTGCTGTAAACTTGAAAAGCGAACCTGGCGTTTGGTATCCGAGGATGGCCGCACTTCGGCCGCGCTCTCTCCATCTTCCTTGTGCTAACGTCATATTATAGTCTGCCATTAAAAATACGCCGAATGAGATTGAAATCAAATTTTTTTGACGTGTGGTGTGCATTTTAACGTTGTTTATGGGCCATTTTTACTTCTTTTCACAAATCTTTGACTATTAAATCAACGTTTGTACTGTTTATGACAAATCGAGACGGTCTGCGCCTCAAACTTGCCCACACTAAACCAATTGTTCTTTTTGCCCAACAGCCCTGAATGAGAATTTATGTTCGGCTCTGTGAACAAGGAGTCCGAGACTGCCTAAAGATGCGGGTTCAGGAGCGAAGAGCCACCATCCTCGTTTGCTGACGGCAATTTGGTATCGCTTAAGGCTGCGTAAGAATGCAGCCGCTGTTTGCGATTCAATTTGGAAAAATAATGCAAGACCTTAGCTGCAATGATAAACTATTTGGAGCACTTTCTGATAGATATTTTAGACATTTCTTTATTTTGAGGGTAAATGAGACAATGAATTGAATAACTACCGAATTGTGGTTTATTGCAATAAACGGGGGCTTTGGCAATGAGGGTGCAAAAGCCTGTTACTGAAAAGAGGCTGAGAGCACGAATTTTCCCATCATCCTTAGCAACAGACTCAAACACTCTTAGTACCTAAAACCCTATATCTCCAACAACCCAAGTCTCCAACAACCCAAGTCTCCAACAACCCAAGTCTCCAATTCCCTTGGCTGATATAACCTTATTAGCACCGTGTACCGTTACAAAATTGTAGACAGAAAACATCTCAAGACGCCAAGATGAGAGTAAAAATTGAAAGTCTTAGGAAATGGCATTTTTACTCAGAGGGTATTATTGATTGGAAACAAGTTGTCTGAAAAAGTTGTTTAGAAGATTATAATGAACAACACTAGAAGAAATTGCAAGGCACCGGAAAAATTTCCACAATAAATCAACACGCTGTACACCTAACTAACTCTTCAGAGACAAAATTACGCTTTTGAAGAAACTTATTCAGAGTCTTGATACGAAAGAAAATATTTTCACTTATGCGTGCGCTTGCAGCTTCTAACTCTTCATATTTGGACTAGCATCCTGCATCATTACTCGGGTTTGCAAGCCATAACAGCGTCTAATGTCTACGTCTATTCAACTCGTGAACGATTTCCGCATAGGTTTTTGAGAAAATAAGTCATTATAACTACCAAAACGGATAAATGACCTTTAGGAAACTGTTTTGTACAGAAATAAAAACAACAATATGCAGCGAGAATGATGTAGAAAAACCAATAATTACCAACATAAGTCAAGGTTTTGAGCCTCTTTAGCAAAAAGATAAGATTGCTTTCACTAACAAGAACGTTATGCTCACATTATAAACGACCTGACAACAGATTACAGCCGCCATCACTTTACTTCGATTGATGTATCTTCGAACAACAAGGCTGGCAGCGTTATAATTTGTTTCTAAGCTGGTCCTCTTAAAAAAAGTCTTATCTCAATTGCCTTAGATTTCTTTTAACTGCTCTGAATTACTTTCTGAATTTCAGTGACCTATTGCATTGAAAATTATTATAAAAACTGGTTATAAAATCAATGTGAGATTGTTAATACTTTATTGATGTCACTGATGGAAAATGGGCTGATGCGATAATGGGTGTTTAGCTTATTTGCGGAACAGTTTTAGGTAAAACGGTGACGTATTCAGAAATGTTATTGAGAAAGCCACATTGAGGCTCGATCAAGAATATTGTCCTGAACTGGCAAAGGATCTTAGTCAGTGGCAAACGAATTAGGTGAAGAGACACCACCAGGTCACAACTTATGTTTCCCTCCCCTTTTTTTAAAATGTTAGCGATTCCCCCAAAATATAAAATATAAAAGAAAAAACCAAATTTCACCAGATTTCGACTCGTCTTATCTCAGGCTCACGCTTTTGGAAAACCAAGACTTCAATAAACATTTTCTGGTTATTAGCCAATTCTCTCATAGCAGGATGAGATTTAATTTCACTCCAAATTATATAAAAATACTCCCTTACTTTAAACTCTGGTTTAAACCGTTGAAATGATTATCCAAAAAAGGGATAAAGCTAATCAAGTACCTTCCATTTTTGCCAGTTGCTGGTACATGTGTGCATTCATTTGTGGCCATTCTAAAACGTAAAATAAATTGAGTTTAATTGGAACCGTGGAAGAAGCATTTCTATTGAAGCTAGCTAAAACACAGGACTTTACGCTAACTACCATCAAATTAATTGACTCGATAACCTTCAGAGTAAGAGAGAAGTAATAAGATATGCTCAGCAATGTGCCTCTTGGTATGCAAATGATATATAGCTCTTAACTACATATTTCGTAGATATCAATCTTGAAGAAATCTGACAAATGGTTTGTGATTTGAGAAAATTCGAGTAATTTAGTTTGCTCATGGACGAGATTAGCATGACTTAACAACAAACTCAGCCAATTCAATTACAAAGCCAAACCTTATCGATATTCAATATACAGCAAAGAATTTTAGATTGAAACAATCTAATTTTGTTGTTAAGATCGAGACTGGAACATCTGGGAAAATCTAAAGCGAAGGAAGAATCATACCTTGACCTGAATAAAAAGGCATTGGTGCGCCATATTGCGTGTACCATCTTGGAAACGAAAATTGTGACAAATCAACTGTTAAAAGGATAGGAGAAATAAGCCATTAAAATAACAATTTCATGTTAATTTTTTTTAAAAATTCATGCAGATAGTGGTTATAACACAAACGGGACATTGCCAATTTATATTAAACAGACAACTCCATTGAGAAGTTCTTGGTGGCAAACTTCGATTCTTTTTTTGTAGAATCTTGGAATTTTGAAAAAAGCTTTTACTTTCAGGGATATTGAATTATCAGAAGAAAAAACAGTTTAATGCTCCACCATAAAGAGTTTTTAAGTGAAATACACATTTTTGATTTCAGGTATAAATACACATCATATACTATGTTTTGAATGAATTCATAAAGCATATAGTAACTTGTAGAAGTTATATTTTAGATACAGTTGAACAAAAATTTGAGCTGCCAAATAGTTTATACTTATCTTAAGGTTTAAAGAGAATATTACATATTTTGATTGTGAAGAAGTACGAATAAACTCACAGGGTGTTTGTGAGATAAGGGACCATTAGATTAGGCCAGGAATTTAAACAAACACGGCCAAAGTTAGTGAAGGTCAACTGTACTGTAGTTCAACTGAAATAAGTATAGCATAATAAATAAGTAAGAATGATAAATAAGAATGAAGGTATCCATCAACTAAACGAAATTCGCTTGGAAGATAATACCTCCAAAGTAAGGGCCAGCTCTTCCTCTACCTTGTAAAGCCTGCATGACTTCCTTGGGCTGTGCTCGCTTGCATTCCACCTGAAAAAATGACAGATCGACTCTTAAAATTTGCAACTTGACGGGGTTAATTTGCTTTAAATAATTTGGAAATACCCTTTACATTGCAATAAGTTTGCCAGAGTATGTTGTTACAATTTATTATTGCTAGCTACTATTGTAAGAAATGATCATCTGATGATTTCAAAAAGGTACAAAATGACTAGAACCGAGAAATAGCCTTGGAATAAGGCCTAGCTTCTATAGCAATTGTTATGTTATCAAAACCTTTCCAATGGTGAAGAGAATAATACTGAAAGCTGCCAGCTCAAACTTGGCCCTGACCTAGTAAGATTTTGTATGAATGCCTAAATTTGCTGCTGACCTCTGAGCACTGTTAGAACGAGGGGCTGCCGTGGAAAAGCAGTTAAAGGTTATAAAAGATCTAGCACAGTTAATGAAGATGACTTTTGGCAAATTTATACCGCACTCTCTCGGTATGACATGCCGAACTAACATCAGCTTAACTACCTGGTCAAAAGGTTCTTACTGGCGGCAGCTGTCAATCAATTAACCGTGAATGCGTGTGTACGGCTCCCCCGTCGACAAATTATTCTCTTAAACTCGCTATTTGTTACAATGAAAACAATTCTTCCTTAAAAGCCTCCTTCCCATCGGCACCATTTACAAAATAATGTTTGAGCTCAAAGAGGAGGAACTTACACTTTTCGACTTGATTTTATGAAAACCTTCACCGCAAATCCGTTTTGCAACTTCTTCAGATTCAAAAGAAACGAATCCAAATCCTACAAATAAACAAAAAACAAATAAAATCCTTTATCTGTTTTAATAGCGAATTATCAAGTTAAATGCGGGAAAATCCTTGCAATGTTACATAATATATTCTTATTACCGACCATCTTTCCACTGTAGGACTAACGTCAAGTACACTTGAAAGTTAAGCGGCCGGACTCCATTAAACAAGATGGACGCTTATTTTCTCTTGTTATTCAAAAGAGGTAACAGTCCAAGGGTGGGTGCTTCCCTCTCAGTATTAGCTCTTGAACCAATCGCACGGGGTATGCTAGCTATCACTATTCTGGTATTGCTTTAACAAATTTGACATGCTTGTTTGAAGCGACAATGATGCAAAGCAACAACACGAAGGATTACAGCCAGAATTTGACATTATCAAATCGGAGAGGATAAAAACTTGATCCTGCTTTTTGGAAAGCAGTTCAAGCGCAAAGGCGGATTACGCGAACGGCTTTGTAGGTAAAGTAGTCTTTTTTCAGTCAAAATTATTTATGCATTTTCGGGAAAAGGAGTCATTTACGAAAGGTTTCCAGCCAAAGGTTTTAGTATTACACGGGATTTAAAAGGCTTATAATTTACAAAATATCTGAAGATGTCATCCTCTATTTCACATCCTCCAAAATTTCGTAAACGAAACGGTTTGGTTAGTGTAAAAGAAACGAGGAAGGATTAAGGCAAAATAATAATAAGAGGCAACGAGCTAGTACTAAAACAGACAATGAAATGTTTTGCTACCCTGAAACAGAGACACCTTGACCGGCAAGAAAGTTGGGGTATGGCTTTCCCAGAAGTACAAACTTTGTCGGAAAATTTTAGAGCTTTTGATGCCAAAGAAGCAACACAGTGTTCTTGCATAACAGAGGTGAAAACAAAGGTTTACGTTACAGTAGCGTACATGGATTTAACCTAGGCAGCCCTAAGGATTCGCTTGAAACTAAACAACTCTTTGGATTTGCGTGAGGATTTTTCTTTATCATCAAATCGTTGGGCAATGGTTCTAAATCGACCTCCAAAAAGCACGAATGGATGTAAATCGATATTTGAAAAATGTTCACTATCGCAACTCAAAATGAAATTTTCACATCGCACGCGATTATTGTTGAGCCTGAAAACAGCAATGCAATCAGAAGTGTGCAGGTGCAGTCAATAGAAACTAAATTGCAGATTGTAAAGTATCTAAGATCTCACAAATTGCACTTTTGTAATGTCTGGCAAAATTAATCCCATCCTGTCTAGTCTCTGGATTCAAAGTTCCAGTATCAGACCTGGATTAAAACTGATGACTGGAAAATCATTGATTCTAATTTAGGCAATCATATTTTCGCAAAATATAATGACTTGTTACTACAAGAAGCATATTCTGATCCAATATGGATACTCCTAAGAAAACATGTTGATGGTGAAATGTGCAGGAAAGTTGAAACAAATAAAGTAATTAATTAATACTCGACTTTTTGAAGCATAACAAGCGCCGAAATTGTCATAATTTTGAAAAATTTTGATTCTCGTTTTTTGTTGTCTTTTCTCAATCAACTTCATACATCAGAAACTTTTTTCCATTTATGATCGATATATTGTCAGAGATAGAAGTGTTTTGCTATCAGTGACAAAAAATCAAGACAGCAAGGCAAAGGAAGTCTGAAAGATAAAGTCAAAAAATTCATCGTCATTTCATGTGATACTATCCTTTGACTTAGATCGAAACCCGATAAGTTATCGGCTGTCAAAAGATTGATTGGCTTCAATTAAGCAACGGAGGGCGTAAAAGCAAGGATCCTGGAGCAAGCATAACAGATATCTGGCTTGTTGAGTTCTTTGCAAATTCAAAGGAACAACACGCTTTAGTCTACTATTTTAGTCTAGTGTTGAAACAGTAGTGCCTCAATCAGAGAAGAACCCACCAACACATTATTAAACAGTAGCATTTTCCAGACAGTCTCAGACACAGTAATCCATCGACAAACAACAAACCATCAAAACGAGACTAATAACCACACTAAAGCAGTCAAAAAATCACCCGCTAGAAGGCAATCATCCGTCTGGCTGAGCGTAGGCCTGGAGTTTTTCGCATCGAAAAGCGAGGCTTGTGAGAAAACATAAAACGTTGTTATAGAGCAGTGATCTCTAAAACACCAAAAAGTGAGTGAAATCATATACAATTTGTTGATACTTCACACTAGGATTAATGAGAGCATGAAAACTGTAGAGAACCCGGGGCGACAGGACGGAAAGGCTAATTGGGTTGAATGAAAATTCAGCTCTAGAATTTCACCAAATCGAACCCAGAAGGTAGAGCTTTAGGAAATCAATAGCAGGTTAGCCTGTATAAAGCTTGTATAAAATGGGAAACTCTCTGAGTGATACGAAACCATTTAATCCAAGAGAATGTCTTCAGTCGAACCGCAAGTGTACAGTGTAGGAAAAGGGTTTCTGTGGCAAAAATGGTTGGAAAGTTTTAGAATTTTGTGTATTCTTGCCTTAAGGTATGGGTTGATATGAGGTGATCAGTTTGGAACTAAAAAATGCAAATGACGACGCCCACCAACAACAAAAACTACCCAATACAATGACCGCAAATCCCCGAAAAAGCCCCTACGTTTGAAAAAGCCCCTACGTTCGAAAAAGCCCCCCCCCCTCGAATAAGGCCCCCCTCGAATAAGCTCCCACCTAAAAAATCAATTTTGCAAATAAGCCCCCATAGGGCTTGTTCGAGGGAAGCAAAATTGTGAATTGTCTTATTTCAAGAAAGCCCCCACAGGACAAAAGCTATACAGTATTACTTCCTTTGACTGGAGACCAAAAAGGAAAAAAAGCAACTTTTGTGATGATAATAATTCTGAATTTTGAAATAAGCCCTCCCTGAAATAAACCCACACCCAAAAATTCGTTCTTGCAAATAAGCCCCTGGGGGCTTATTCGAGGATTTACGGTATGTTTGGTAGGTTTTTATGTTGTCAAATCTAGGTGGTTTTTTTCGAGAAAAAAAAACTTTATTCAGAGCGACAACAGGCCTGCTTTGGCGACTCCGTATGAGAATCCAAAAGCCAGGTTAGTTTTGATACAACTGATAATGAAATAATTTATCGATAACAGTTAGAAATTTTGCTCTTCTAATTGGCAGTGTAAGCAGAGAATCGAGAAAACAGAATATCTGGTGGCCAGAAATTTAAGGCCGTGAGAAAAGCCTCGAATTCATCAAATTAGAAAATCATCAAGCATTTTTTCTAATGATGAAGAATTATGTTCTAAGACTCTAGTGATAAACAACAAACAAATTCGTTGGTTTTTTTGTAGAGTGTCATCGAAAAGTAAAAGAGAATAACGAACCTCTAAGTCTTCGTGTTTGTTTGTCGTACATTAATAAAACATCTGTCACCTGTAAAATGTGACAAAAATTAGCATTAGAGTATACGCCTAGAACAGGGCGGTCTTTAGTTGCGAATCCAATTTAATGTGGTAAACAGGTAAATTTACAGCACTGTTTATACGTTTCTCAGTACAACAGAACAGCAGACCGCCATTATTGTCATTAACGGATCTTTATTTCTCTAAAATGAAATACTTTTCGAATAAAGAGCATCGAAAAGGTGGCTGGTATTGATAGAAAAGGAATGCTAGGATATTTCTAGAGGAAGGAGTATGGAAAAGTGTTACATCTGCGGGGAAGGGTTGTGTGTCCTCTGCATAGCAATAGATGCCCCAAAAAATTCTTAACAAGTGGCAAGAAAAGTTTCTTAACGTTGTAAAAAATTAATGAAATACCTGTTTTAAGATCATGCAGATACACAATCGCTACATCTTTAAGTTTAATGCTGCTGATAATATTATTTTAAGCTGAAGATTAGGCAAAATTATATAAAAATTACGTCGAACATACCCATTTTTCATACAAGGTAACCCATTATAGGCAACTCTAGACCAATATCTCTTCAAAACTTCAGAAACTTTGTTACAATATATTGTGTGGTTGAAAATATTTTGATACTGTTTATTCGAACATCTAATACTGAGTTTGAAACTTTAACTTTCGTGTAATTTGACTTTTGCCAGAAATAGTGAAGGCTAATAATGAATAACCAGAAATATTACCAGAAATAGTGAATAACCAATAAAATTTGTAATTTTTCGCCAACTGAAGGGAAAGCATCCTTTTGATCATTCAGTTTAGTTCCATTAAAGGGTACTTCAGCTTTCGGCAACAGTATTGTAGTTTTCATTAGTTTTTATTGAGGTTGTTTCTTGTAAGACAGAAGTGTTCAAAAGTGCAAAGTAAGGTTGCTTTAGGAATGTTTAATTTTTAAATGTAATCTGGAAAAATTTCATAATCAAGTTTGCTTGCAAGATTGCAGACTTCAAGGAATTGATTATAAAATTTAATTTTCTGAGACTAGGAAGAAAAAGCATTAAGCAAATTCGATGTTTCCGACTAAAAATATTGATTCTGACGTGACGTGACGTGACGTGACGTGACGTGACTTGACTTGACTTGACTTACTTAAATTGACTCACTTAACTGGTCTTACATGCCAAACACTTCATGGGTATTTGCACATTCCTTTACAATGTATTATTTCAATTTGATGCTCAATTTTGTGTTAACGACATGGTATTTTGTGTTATGTTATGTTATGTTATGTTATGTTATGTTATGTTATGTTATGTTATGTTATGTTATGTTATGTTATGTTATGTTATGTTATGTTATGTTATGTAATGTTATGTTATGTTATGTTATGTTATGTTATGTTATGGTTATGTTACATTAAAGGAACCTTTAAGAAATATTTAGTACTTAAATAAACAAAAAGTTAAGGAAGCGTAAACATATCCTGAGCTTTGTTTCTTATAACATAATGCCTGTAGCACATGTGATGCCTCCCCATTTTACGGTGGTCCTGTACAGCCCCCTCGGTAAGCCAACGAGAAAATTACATAGTTTGAAACAAGCATTGAATTCATCGATGGGAATACCATAGTTGGAAATAAGCATGGGCATGACAGCAAGTTAAATAGCAATGTAGTATGGTAGCATTTAGGACAGAATGACTTAGATTAAGTTTTGCAATAAAATATACCAAACTATTATGTTATAAAGTCTAGGGCACGTAGCCAGATGCATAAGAACTATACATTATTCAATGGCATTACTGTTAATTATTCTTGAATATTTCTGCTGGTATGGCCTTTAACAGATTTACGATTCTGCTGTCTTAAATAATATGCTATTAAATATGTAAGAAACAACAATAAAGCATCACTGAAAAGGGATTTATTTAAATCGTATGCAGTAACTGTAATCCAAGACTTCGCTCGATACAAAAAGTTATGGTTAGGGTATAGAATGACTTATCCACGAAACTATGGTAATGAAAGCTCGTTATAGTATGAACATAATTTGAAAAAAGACCAAGGATTAATGCGGTAAAAACAATAATTACATAAATTAGCCTGTTCCAATCGGCAGGCCCATGATTGAAGTGCGCAAGTTCATGATTTGGTTAACCGCTTACCTTTCCGTATTTTTCAAAATATTCCCTAACGTCATTTGTGGTTGTATCACTTGCAAGGCCTCCAATAAAAATTTTCTTAAACTGAAACGAAAAAACAAACGGTTCTCTGTCAAAAACAGTCCGGAGATTACCACTAAAGCACGGTGACACAGGGGAACAACTTTCCCTCTATGAATTTGAACCTATTTCTGGTTGCCCTGTTGAACATTGTTGATTCTCAGTGGTATCGTTATATCAAAGAGCGTTGCCTCATGCAGCTGATGCTGACAACAGTGAAGTATCAACCTTTACAGACAAAAAAGGGACATCAGTTAGGCCATCAAAAGAGGCTAAGTCCATAAGGTTATTCTAACAAAACAATTGGATTAGAATTTTTGTCTGTTTTTGTCGGTGTCCGCTATTAGGGGATCCCAAATTTAGGCAAGCGTCGGCTATTGGGAGATCCCCACTTTAGGGAGGTGTCCTCTATTGGGAGATCCCCACTTTAGGGAGGTGTCTGTTTTTGGGAGAAGTTCGTTATTTGGGAGGAATACGCTGTTCCACTATTGGAAAGTGTGTGTAAGTCGGAGATCTCCAAAACCTATCAAATACGAATTAGTGACGTTAACAAATCAAAGCGACATCATCGTTATACCAACCGCAAATATCTTTCAAAATGCTAAGCTTTAGAATATTCTTTTAATTTCAGACTGAAGTGGCAATTGAGACTCAGGGTATTCATAGATGATGTGGTCATCAAAAATTAGATAACGCCAATTTTCTAACCTTATATCACAGAATAGAAACAGCCCTTTTCCCCATTCTGTCCTAATATCTTATACAAATCAGAAAAAAGGTAGAGCGAAAGTTGATGTAAAAAAATACAAGGGAAATGAAATGTGTACCGAAATTGAAACAGTACCTATGCAATTTTTCAACATTTTTCAAGAAGTTTAAACCAAACAACGTGCATAAGATGGTATTGCGCATCTAGAAATGTCTCCATAAATTGGAACCAAATGAGTCGTAACAAAAAGTTTCAATTCAATGTTTTAGAAAACCATAAATAGCTGGCCAAAATCAATAAGCAAGAATCTGATTACTCGATTAGCAGTCATTCAACCTTCTTGAAACCGTCCTCTTGTCCGCTAAACCAGTTTTGATTTGAAAATTTAATAAAGATTTGTGGCAATCTTAAAGTCGTAGAGTGAAATTTTTTCATCAGCAATAAAGGCTTGATTTTTTCTTGGTTTTATCCTACCACAGGTAGCTTTATACTTAATACAACATTTCAGAATAAAAAAGAAAGGAAGGCTTCAACAGAAGTTATTTTATTTGAAAATGCATAGCAAATATGGCAACGATTTCTAAAAGAAGAAACTTACTTGGTTCTGTTTAGGTACTTTCCTTGGAATTGCTATTTTTGGATCTACCTATAAAGAGAAAAATAGATATTAAATACAACAAGTCATAGTCCTAGCGTGGAGTTCTACGTAAATGCCTGAAAAAATGGTACAGTGATAACCGCTTTTAAGCAGCATGTTTTGGTACAGTGATAACTAAGCTTTTTACTCTTGGGTCATCTTCCGGAAGTTGGATTTAGTCTATCTGGGTACCAGAGCCTAAAATTTGGGGAAATAATTGCTCTCTCCTCTCTCTATATGTTTGTCTCATCTCCATTCTCCTCCCGGTTTCTTGGGCTTTGGTACCCGGGGTAAATTGGGAAAAGGATTCGGTCATCCAACCAACAAAAAGAACTTGCAGTTGTTTGTCTAAAAAGTCTTGCAAGAGTTTCTTTATTTGTGCATTCTCCTGTAAATACAGGTCTAATAAAAGTGGGGTATTGGTGTTTGGGTGGAAGTCTGATGGCTTCAAGTCTAAATTTTCTTGCAAAACACTGTTATATTTTTTCAAAAAAGAGAACTGGAAGAAATACAGCAGTTCCCTTCCTCTCTTGCACCGCAAACCGCTATGAAACCAAACAAACATGGACGACAGAACTGTAATGGATCTAGCCCGTTGAAAACGACTAACAGACGACGAATGCGACTTTTTCTGACGTCATAATATGAACAAGTTACGTCTCTATTCAATTGTTACTTTCTGTAAGGGCTTGGTTTCTAGGTATCATTAGGCCAGGAAAGCCTCTGACTGTTCGTAGTGCTTAAGACAGGTGTTTTTACTGATATCACCTAAAATCGCCACGAAAACAAGTCAACTACAGTAAATAAAAAGATGGAAAAATAACAAAAGTCTTAAAACTAAAACATTTATAACAAAAAGACCAGAATTTGAAACAGATAGTAAGAACAAGTTGTGGATAGTGACAAGAACAGCATCCTTTTGGGTTGTTTGTACATTCAAGCGAAAAGAAGGTTGGTCTCGGTCTCGCTGTCTTACGTCAGCGACATTGACATTAGCGATAGCCACCCTACAGAAGCCACAAAACTTTCTGATTTCGTAAGGGGGTTTCCTACTGGTTTATAACTTTTGATTCGCTGTGGTTTGGCATTAATCTGCCGGGGCTTTATCCAGGTAATGCTATCCTTGTTTGGTTTGAATTCAATTTCAGATTCTCCTCTTTGTGGAAATGACAAGCACTGATGCGATTGGTTTTGCTGTGGTCTAGACACATTCTCATGCAAATCTTGAGTGGTTTTCAGAATTGAATTAGAAGGGAACTTTGATGGTGAAGATGTGATAAGACACTGGGCGAGGGAACCACTAATATCGTTTTACTTGGAAAATTAATCCAGGCTTTCAAAAGCCAGTCATTTAGCATTTCATATCAGCCAATCTTCTAGCTCTGACGTATAATACCTCAAGGTTGGTAAGAGGAATCTAGTTTGATTAACGAAACAAAATTAAACAAAATAACGAAAAAAACAGCGAATTTCATTTCTGATATTGTTTAATAACCTTTATTATGACATCGGCACATTTTCTGGTTGACACAATTACTTGATTCTGAGGGAACCCATTCACAATCAGTTTCTCCCAATGAGTAAACAAAGGACATAATGGGGAGATATTGTCCCGAGGCCATGGATATGGGCTTTAGGGCTTTGTTACAATTGAAACAAATGTTATTATTAGCAAAAAAAGGGTTGGGAAATTTCATGCTGCGATTTTATAGAGGCACAAAAATTTTATGTTCGATGGAAAGACAAGAGTGCATTTATTGTAGTTTAAGATAGTTTTACGAAATGAAAATCAAAATGACCTGTGTTCTTGAGGCTTGGTGGAACCACTAAATGAACAAGACAATACGAGTGCAATGGATTTAATTATCGACAAAGATAGAAAATAAGCTTCGTTAATAATAATCACAGATCGCTTTAGGCTTAATAACTGAAGAACATATGAATGAACCAATGAACAAGCGAATGGGAGAATGAATGAGTAAATGGATGAACAAAGTGATGGGAAAGTATAAAGATGTCTACGGGAAATTAGATAATTCAATTGATTACCATCATGTAGTGAATAATTAATCAACGGTGATTTTCTGCAGCTAAATTTCTATGACGGTTGAAACCACAATTTCAAGTAGAATAGACATGTAACTGCTAATCAGACCAACACTTACATGGCTCCATTTAAACTGTTTTACATCAGATCATAAAACCAAAGAAGTTCTAGGTTGTTATTAAGAAGAGGCAAAGCAGGTTCCCTAAGTTATCGTGTTTCGAAACGATATCATTCTAGCCAATCCTTTAATATCAGGCACCTCGTAACATTTCGAAAAGTGGGGGGTCTTTCAGGATAACTCTTAACAACTAATAATGCCATAAGTTTGCATGCCAGTACAGGTATACAGCAAAACTAATAGGTGTATCCCAAAATAATATTTCATGGCTTTACCCAAGATCACTTTCTTCTTTACCCATCCACTAATTTCACCCTGAAAACTCGACACTGGCAAGTTTTACGTTCCCTTTCCCCAAGCTGGGACATTGAAAAGTTTTCCTTTAGATCTCATAACTCAGTTTATCCCAAACTCTTCGAGATGAAACTCCAGTAACTTGCCCTGCATGTCATTCTACAAATATTATAGCAACGTAAACAAAGAGGCAGTGCTTGCTCCCAACATACATTCATAGTTGCCATCTTTTTTAAATATATTAAACTGAGACTCAGGGTGCCAAGTATAGACTCGACTGCAAAATGCCTTCCTGGAAATCGTTTTGTATGAGTTCCCCTCACTCAAAAAAGTTTACTTAGTTTAAAAAACCTAGGTTTCAAAAAGGAGAAGAATTACCAATTGATTCCCTTTGAAATGCCAGAAAAGTATCTTTTTCAAAGATAAATTTTGCCATTTGCGGGGGGGGGGGGGTCACACCCCCTCTTGCCTCCTCCTCGGTACATGACTGCATCGCTGTATTTATATTTCTACAGAGGAATCTTCAGCGACTGATTGTGAAATCCTATGTTGAAGATTACTTGGGTATGAATTTGAGAATTTGAATTCTTCTGACACTTCTTACTCTTACAATGGCCCATTCAAAACATTTAACTATAAAGGGATTTGGAGGGGAGGTAAAAATGATTGCGTTGTCATTTGAAAGCTTATTCGAAGCGACAATACCTAATTGGGTGTCAGAATAGATAGCTTTGGCAATGACAGGCCTTGGCAATGTGCGCCTGGCTATAAATGCCACGTATCTGTGTTTGGATTCCAATGTACAACATCAATTGGTTTTCTCTTAATCTTGTTATCTATTTACCACCGTATAATGAAAGGCATATAATCTAGTTAAACTATTTAATGATTTTCAAACTTTTTACATTATATTGCCCGCCCAAAGACGTCGTACACTATAGTAAAACAATTCATATTTTCAAAAGCATCTGGCCACCCTTACCCCAGAAACAAAGTTGATTTACTGCAGCTTCCAAGCTTAAAATTATCCAAATTTGATCTTATCAGAAATCTTTGTCTTTGATCTTATAAGCAAGATTGTTTGGGTATTGGGGAGGCTAGATTTCTCAATTTCTCAGCTGTTGACTTTCAAAGAAGTCTACAGCCACTTTTCACCTATTTAACTGTTACACGGTATTTAATTGACTCTGTGCATGGACTGAGGGTTAAGTAATTTAATTATAATGAAATTGCCTTTGAAACTTTTCAATACCTCTAACTATATCCGAACAAAAAAGCCTGACACTGAGCAAATTTTTCTCTTGAAATCAAGACCCATATTTCCCTTTCTCCTTTCCAAAAAATCAAATAATAATTTCAGCCAAACAGATGTGCCTCCCTCTAATCAACACATTATTATACCAGTCTAGCAGGACCTAACAAAAAAATTGTTAGATATTTAGATTGTAGATATTTTATGACTAGTCTCATAGTAGAAATTATTTGAAAATTCTATACCTAAATGTTCCAAGCATTTTCATTTAAGTTTAAAAAAATTACTCTTTGTAGCATTTATTTGAATAGAGAATGTAAATCCATATCGGAGGACCTTATAATCATTGAAGCTAGCTAAGTGAAATCCTCCTCCTACAGGGAAAGGATAAGAATACCCTCTTTAGCTCAAATAATTTCTAATCAAGTGAGCTCTCTGTTCTGACGTTCTACCTGTACTGAGATACATTAACAGTCCTTGGAATAGGCTTTGTCACCAAAATGGTCGGCTCCACCCGATTGGCTATAAAGAAATTCAGATGACACGGGCAGCACCGAAAGCGTCTTGAAATTTATCAAGGTCCTGCTATCAAAAAAAATTCTTATTTGCGTCAATTTTTGAGAAAAAACCATAATAGAATTAGTTTTTGAATTTTAATTTATATACTGTAGTATGATATATCTGATTCTATTTCATAAAATTTCGATCTTGATCTAGGTTGTTGCTTTGTTTGTTGATGAATCAAAGAAGTTCAAGACGTCAATTACTTGATCTATAAAAAATTCTCTGATTATCACAATGGCGAAAATTTTTTAATGGTGTTTGAGAAAAGGAGGAAAATGCTTAGGAGTGGTTTTTCTCTCAACTGACTTTCATGCGTCGAAATTTTTGGACTCTTTTAAGATTAAACGACAGAATACTTGAGTTGTTTACATTGAAAATTTATATGTTCTTTTGTTCGTGTTGAGCTTGGATCCTTATACAAACAGCAAATGAAACTAATGTTGCCTACAAAATACAACACTTAGCTAAGCAGGAGAAGCCTAGCAGTGCAGCCAGCCGCAAGTTCAAGAGCAAAAATCATAACCTAGTTTATATCTTAATTATTTATGCCACTTGTTTTACGGGTTAGAATATTTATAGGTATTTCATAAATATAAAAAGAAATGAATAAAAATGTAAGTCCGTGATCTTTTTCATTTTGAGATATGCTTAAGCCTTTATAGCAGTTCTTTACTGGCACTGAAAAGGCTTATCATGTGTAAATATGTATTATCATCGTCAGGTAGTACCTAGATGAAATCTTAAAAAACTGGAAGTAGGAAAACTTTGAAATGTATCGGAAATTCACCGGAAAATTCAGCAGTTTTAGTGCATATTCAAAGAATTAAAAAAAAGATTTACAGATTTACAGAATTTCAGTATAACTAAACGAAAAGTATAACTAAAGAATTCCTCTGTTAATGTCAACTTAATTTGTCTAATAGGTTGATGTGAGACGTGCACATTAGTTAGTTTATGTCTGTAAGAAGTAATTCTACAGAGAGAACTATTTACATAACGAAAGGAACTGATAAATGCATCTCAGACGAAATAAATTTTCAACTGATGCCAACTGACGCAAAGTGTTGCCAACAGATGACAGTGCTTAAAAAGGGTGACATTAGACAATACAGGTAGAAAGCCTGGAGAAGCTAAGAAATATCAGGCAAGGTTCAACGCCTTTATATATATGAAATTACACCATTTTGTTACAGGTTTGTTGAATCGAAACGAAAGACAGCTAAAAGTGCTGTGGATCCCAAACTAAGGGAGGTAGAATTTGAAATAGGACATCGTAATACGTCCAACTTCCCTTTCATTCTTTTTAAAAGAAGCGTCTTTCCCTTAAGTCCTTCAATCAGAGAAAATTGGTCAAATCCGCAATAAAACAGAACATTTTTGGCACTCAAATTGGTTGCTTGTGTCTAGCTAACAGTTTACCGCACGCGTTAGCCATCAAAATCTGTCCAGATCCACGTGTTTAAACTAAACACAGCTCTCGCAGGAGTCATGTAGGACACATGACATTGAAGAGATAAATCGCCTACCTTGCAGTTGGTAACAAAGTGTCTCTCTTTTAAAAGCTAAGTATCGAAAAAGCCATACATTTTTTATAAATAGTGTTTGTTTTGACGATTGATCTAAAGGCATTATGCCGCGTTTCGAAAGACTACAAAAATTGGCATAAAAAATTCTGCTGAAGAGGGCTAACAATAGGATCATTTCAGAAGGATAGAAGACACGACTGAAAAACACAGCTGGTATTCACAGTCCACAAATCGAGGTCATTTACTGTGTATTGTACAGTTGGTTGATTTTACAGCGCCAACACGAGGTCTGCCAATTGCATTTGCTACCTGATATTTTGTAGGCAGATGATAAACAATGTACTTTGTTATCTTCCAAACATGACTTGACTCGTTTTGAGAAAAATATTCAAATAAAACATATCTCTAGTTAACCATAAAGGGCTTTTGATTTGATGCACAAATTTGTAGCCAAATTGAAGGCTGGTGTACTAATTTCGCTGTTAATATGCTTTGCGTTATCTAGTGAAAGCCTCGTTGAATGCACAACTTTACAGGGAAATGAACAACAGGATTATCACTGACAAAGAAACAAAAAGCGAGCTTTGCACTAAAATTTACAGCGAGTAAACATGGATCAAGTACCCAGTGTAATCTGCATTAAAATTCTATCTATTTTGGAAATGCAAGTTTTTGAAATCAAAGACAAAAGACGAAAGAAGTATAACATTCCTTTTACAATATGCCAAAAATTCCTTACATGGTCACAAATACTAAATATTCTACTTAGATTTGGTAACCTTTAAAACATAAATGAATATGGAAACATCATTGAAATGGAACTTCAAAACATATGGAAATAAAAATTTGTAGTGATGTTAAGGTGATGTAAAGTGACGTCAAGACTAGGGAAGAAATCTAACAATGAAAAAGGGTTGTCAAAGATGCAACAAATATAACGTAGATAAAAAGGGGTGAGAAAATATTTCGCTTTTCAAATGGATTCTAATACAAAAAATGACATCAGGCATCAGAAAAACTATTAAAGCAGTGTTTGAGCTCCAAATTAAGTCACGCATATACTTCGATATATATAAAAAGAATTTTTTTATTTGTTCAGATATTCAAAAAAGCATCCACAATGATGTGATTACAACGTCTACTTGATTGCGTGCTGTACAATATGAATATCATTCACAAAAGTAAACTGGTGAACTTTGCTCAGATATTATAAAAAGGCTAAGCTAGTCCAATCCTTTATTGAAAAAGTATACCTGATGCTATCCGCCAAGTCCATCTTAATTTTTCAATCATCAATATAGAGAGACGACAGTGGGAGCCATGGGCAAAAGAAAAGAATGAATGGAAGATGGGAGTTCCAAATAAAGTCTAGGAGTGGTTGCAAGACTTGCAACTGAGGTCACGTTTACACTGCTACGGAACACTTTTTGAACCGTATCAAAATTCAAAAGTAATACGGAACGGCCTTCCGTTTACACCACTCCAACTATTCGTAGCAAAACTGATACGGTTAACCGTATCACTTTTGAGTATTTTAACAAGTGATCCGGACTTGTGAAAACCCAGTGTAAACGGGGCATGAGAAAAGAATGGAAATGAAATGTTCAAAGACCTTGTGAGGAGAGAAGGGTGTATAGGTTCTTAGTTTGTGAAACATTACGTTCTAAGTTTGTGAGGATATTTAACATCGGGTTTTCCTTTTCAATGGATAATGCCTGGAAAGCTGAAGAGAAGTGCGATTGGGTGCAAACTAATCCAACTAAAGCGTTTGTTCACAGACTAACAAGACTGTAAAAACAAGTTAAAAATCTATAATGCTTTGGTTCTTTTGTATTTCTTTCTAGGTTCCAAAAGATGTGACATTATTACATATGTTAGAAAATCTTCATCAAAATATGCAAAGCATATGTTTATTGGAACTGTACATAGACCGATAAAACCAAGTTAACATATGAAAATGATTTCCTGCTGTGAAAGCATTCAGCAAAACAGATCTACAGCTGAAACGCTTTATAATAAAAAATGGGTTTCATTATTTGTATTTCATTTTTAAAACAAAACCCGTGGAATATAGGTAACATCACAAATAGTTGCAAGTGCAGTTACACTCCACGACCAGAGTCCTGGAAACATTACGGTTCCACGGCTGTGGGCCAGAGGAAACTTATCCAGCGATGCAGTAGCTTTGAAGCAGGCCAATGCATAACTTGAAAAGATGTTTATAAATGTCAGGAATTTACCGTTGTGGTTTTACTTTTTTTCCTGATAGCCTTAAGTCTATAGATGATTCTACTTTAATTCAATTTCTAAGAGACTTTACAAAAGTACAAGGAAATTTTTTGAAGGTGAATTTCATCCGGAGGAGGGCAAATTTCATCTGGAGCATAGCGAATTTCGTCCGGAGGAAGGCAAATTTCGTCCGGAGGAAGGTAAATTTCGTCCGGAGGAAGGTAAATTTCGTCCGGAGGTAGGTTGTGGGGTCTTTAGAACTCTGTCCATGAAAAGTGACATTGTTCTGCCATCATCTACCTTATTAGAAATCCGCGGCTTTGAAGGAATGCCTGTGTTTCTAGAGTTAATTGCAGCATAGAATAAAGGAGATCATCTATATTTTAGGCGTTCTACTTAAATGCCAAAAGCAAGATTTAAAAAAATAAAATAACAAGATGAACTTTCGAGCTTACCTTTTTACCATCCACCATGTGGTTAGCTTTTTTGACAACTTTATCAACAGAACTTGAATTTAAAAACGTCACAAAGCCAAAACCCCTGAAAAAGAAGAATTTGAGCGTTAAGTGAATTTTTTTGGCACGGGCTAAGAAAAAGAGCATCATTGTCTCCAAATATGCAAAATCAGTTAGATGTAAAACAAATTGGCTGAAATATGGCCACAGGAGAACATTCTCTTTCTCTGTCAAATCATTGAGATTTGGTCTCGATGCAAAACTTTATGAACTAAACCAAAATAACAGGAATCCGTTAGCAAACTTCAAATTTTCATTGGCAATATATCACCCTTATTTTCACTTTCTTATCTGATGTTTAACATACTTTTGCCGTATTTGAAGTACGTATTTAATAGTAATATTTCAGGGGATATAATGAAAAGTAAAAAATTTAAAAAATTTCTATGATGTCACACGGAAAGTGCTACTATAGTAGCCTTGAATGTAGTGTTTGCTGGTGGCTTTGCTGCGAAAATGTGAGAAAATTCAGCGGGTAAATTCGCTTCATTGTTTAACTGCGTCCAGACACTTTTGTTCATTAGCATTACATTAACGAGAAATCGAAGCACCAGCAGTACTAAACACGATGCTGAACGCTTTGATATGAAGATCAAAGTGCACAATGATTGTTATGTCTTGGAAGTTGTGCTTTCAATAGTGAATAAAGTCGTATTAGCACTGAAATAACAATGAAAGGATTTCGAAAGACTCTGCAGGTAGTCGATTGCTAAATCCCAAAATAAAAAGATCAGAGCAACATTGTATGCAAGGGCACCTGTTATTTCTTCAATACCTGTTCTTAGTTTATACTATTCATCTGCCAAAAAAAAGCTTGACGACTCACAATAGATGACCTACACCAGTAGATTACCACCCATTTCGTAAATACCTTAAGGCTAATACCGAAATTTGCAATGTGAAAGAACAAATAATGATAATTTCAAATAGGATTTCAATTATGATTATGATTATGAAAGAAAAATATGTTTTTCGAATTAAGGAAAATGTCGGCTGCCTGAATGTAAAACATTGACTCTCCTTTCTGCTACATATTAAAGAAAGCCCTTTCCTTCCTGATTTGGATAAGTTATGAGAACAAAAACTTCCTTTTGGCTATTACTTATATAGCGAATAGAAATGTTGCGAATAGAAAGCCACTAATACACATGTGCAATCTTTGATATGGACTACCTGTGGATGTAAAGATGCATCTTGATAAAATTTTGCGATTTTGCAAAATAATTTACAGAAGCAAAGCCTGGCAAAGGCAGCATTAAATATTAACGGCAACAGGTAAATGTACTATGCTGATATGAAAAACATCTTCAATTTTAACGGATTTGTTGCGAGGCAATTAAGTTTTATTAAACAGTTCTGGAATCACGCTTCCATCCAGTCTGTTACGATCAGCTGTTGACAATGGCGGCTGCAGGCATCGTCGCATTGATTATTTTGAAAATTGAAGTACAAAAACGGTATCAAGTCACACTTTCACATCACACTTTCGCGAATCTGTGCCAGAAAAACCATCTTTGACGAAACAATAATCGTATGATGCACTGAGGGAAGCTCACAAAAGCATAATGTTATATCAGTTCTCTGGCACAGATTCTTGCCATGTTTCCATGCAAAAATACAAACGCAACCCACGATACACTTGGCAATTGTGAGAAAGTCTCACTTCAGTATGAACTCAACTATCGCGGTAAATTGTAGTGATTTCTTTGATTTACGGCTGGGACCAATTTGCATGAGGTGGGCTGGCCCCTTTAAGTGGGCTAGCAGGCCTACTTGAGACCCGTGCCTTGTATACATTTCTTTGTAATTCTGTAATTGAGTTTCAATAAAGAGTTGGCCAGACCACTAGGGTGAGATCCACGAGAAGGACACCTGGGATTCACTCCAGGTGGGAAGAGAATTATCCATGCAAATATGATCAGATGGGCTGGCCCATTCAAGTGGGTTGAAATGATTATCGGGTGCTTGTGTAAAATAATTCACATCTTCGTATAGACAATGGCTTAGAAAAACACTTTTTCAAAATAAACGCCCAAAACTAAGACAATGAAAGCACAAACGGTGCAAAGCGTCATACTTTAAGAATTTGACAGACATTGCCCCCCCATGTCGAGCTTCTACGTTTGTAAGCTTTCAGTAAAGAAAGAGCTTCTTAAGCAGGCTGCAAAGAAATACTCACTTTTAATATAGCGAATGGAGTGAGGGATGTCTCCGAGAATGACCTCCTCTCTGACGGACAGATTTACCTTTCCTCAGTTAAGCGCTTGCTCTTGTTTTGCAAAATAATGAATCACAGTTTGTCATAGAATTACATTTGCAGAAGGCTTGCAGAAAATTTAAAATCTTTTTACGTATCCACCTGTTGCACAGCCTCTGAAGATTAAGCACGCCAAAGACTTATCTAGAGAAAATGTAAATGAAAAAGGCAATCTACACCTCCGGTTAGGCCTTTTGATAAGGAAATAACAATGAAAGCCCGGCCATGACAGGCCCTCCCCCATTAAATCCTTTGAATTGAGCAATTTTGTCGTCTTTCATCGACTTATCTGTATTTCCTATCTGCTACAGTCTTTGACTTGCGGAAAAATTAGCGAAATTAAAAGTTGATTGAAAATTAATCGAAATATTACATAAAGGCTTAGAGTTAATCCAGTGATGTTTCTGCTGAAAGCGATTTAATTTGTGGTTGGACTATGTTCACTGGGCAAGAGGAAAGAGCATTGTTAAGGGGGTAATCCACGTCCACGAAAGTCGAAAAGTCGAAAGCAAGTAGCTGTATGTAGCAAATTGACGGTCCTGTAATGTTGTGATTTATGCACATATTAATTTAGCATTGCATAGATTAGAATAATTAGCTAATTAGAGAACCATGCTGTAAGAATGCACGCTTGGGTATATGTTCTGTTATGTTCCTATTAAACGTACGTTTTCTTGTGTACTACCTGCTACAAAGGACATAATAAATGGCGACGAGGATTTAAACATAAATTTTTCAACATAAATTTGCAAATTCTGATCGATTTGATTTCAATCAAGATTCTTATGTTGATGATGATGATGATGATGATGATGATGATGATGATGATGATGATGATGATGATGACAGCAAGCTTAATGATAATCATGATAAGAAATGAATTTTGAACATCGATATCCGCGTAAAAAATAGAAAGCAAGTGAAAAGATATGGACCAAATATGTATGATCGTTAGATTTTGTTTGATTGAATTGTAGTATTTGTGAACATTAATTTTATGCTGCTGATATTTTTGTAGTCATTTAAATTTCGACAACTGGACTTTGAATTCAAGCTAGGGGGAGATGTAATGTTGTGATTTATGCACATATTAATTTACCATGACATAAATTAGAATAATTAGGTAATTAGAGAACCATGCTGAAAGAATGCACGCTTGGATATATGTTCTGTTATGTTCCTACTAAACGTATGTTTTCTTGTGTACTACCTGCGACGCAGAACATAATAGGTCCAACAAAAGAGAATCAGTAAAAGCTTGCTATAAAAATATTTTAAGATCTTGGTGATGTTTACTACTGTTTGGGACAACTGTTGGTTTTTTGCTTGGTACCACAAGTCGTCAAGGAAAAGAAATGTTGGTAGGTCACTTGCAAGGCCATTTGAGGTTGTTGCGGCTGTCTGCAGGAACGATGTGACCTGTGGAAGATTGCATTTACAAAGCCCTCTATGTTTACTTATTTATATACCGATTTGATATGGTTTTAATCGTTGAGTTGTGTCCAGCAGAGGGGCTTGCTCTCATTAAAAACGGCACAAGGTAAAGGTCAGGGCAGAGTCCAGAAAACAGTACGGTCACACGGTCATTGACCGGAGGAAGGTTTGAGAAACAATAGAAATTTGGAGGAAGGTTTTGGCAAAATAGAATTTTAAAAAACAGTTGAGACGACTTATTTTGCACTTGTTTTTGCACTCGTTGCGCTTTCAAACACTTGTTGAATCTGTCACAGAGTCGAATGGTGGAACGAATAGACGCAAAAATATTCCGCCGCGCCCTTTTACGGCAAGTAAATACATCATACATCTGAAAAGAGAATTTTTCAATCTATTTTATATCATGATTCCATCGATTTAATTTTGGACATTTAAAAAGAAATATTATCATTGAGATTTAATGTTATTCTAGCAAAGTTTAATCGTATGCAATAGTTACCATCGACCCAACACATAATTTTGTCTCAATTTATAGCGTCTGTCGCCCCTTATGCCCTAGCCACTCTCGAGCCATGCCCTGTCCTAGATGATTGCTTGAAAAACTGGAGGAAGGTTTTGACGAGGAAAAATTTGGTGGAGGAAGGTTGAGGACATTTCTGGACTCTGGGCCAGGGGAAAAGGTGTTTTCTAAAAGAACCAAAGAGACCTTTCTTAACAAAACAGCTGGAAAGGCAACCCCCCGCCCAAGGTGATGCGGAGATGTCGTGGAGGACGAGAATACTTACAACTTGAAATCGTTTTAATTTGTTTGGATTCTTAAAAAGTATATTGGGAATTCGTTGAATATATGTAGATATGTAAAAAGGGTAGTTTTTAGGAGCTGTTCGTTTCTCATACATCAGAACTTAGGACAACACACGGGTCTAACACAAAATTATAAGATTGGCCTAAACAGAAACAATAACGGTTAAGGAACAAAGCGAACAATCAGATGGTCAAAAACTGTCCAAAGAAAAGAAAAACCGAAAGCACTACTGAAAAGGAAAAGTTCTAGCTGATAATCAAGCATATAACTACTAATGCCTTTTCAAAGGACAAAGAGTCCTCGATACAAAAGTTGATGATAATAGGTGATTGGAAACTGAAACTCCCTCAGACCAGTTGTTCACATGTTTCATTTTCGTATTGGAAATGGCATGTGGCAATACAAAGTATAACCGCTGGTTGATTCTTGCTTTGAATTAGGCTTCATTTACAGCAAGACAGATTAACACTCATCTTTTTTAAATGCGAGGCACAAGAATAATGGTTATGGTAAGATCAAAAGAAAGAAC